GAATCGTGCTAGTCGTTAGAAGAATCGTCTTAGTCGTTAACAGAATCGTGCAAATCGTCAGGAGAATCGTTGCAGTCGTCTACAATATCGTCCCAGTCGTTAGCAGAACCTTTTCAGTCGTTAGCAAAATCGATTCAGTCGTCAGCAAAATCGTGTCAGTCGCTAGCTGAATCGTTTCAGCAGCAGAATCGTACCAGTCGTAAGCAGAATCATCTCAATCGTTAGCAGAACCGTTTCAGTCGTCAGCAGAATTGTTTCAGTTGTCAGCTGAATAGTACCATGCGTCAACAAAATAAGGCCATCGTTAGCAAAATCGCTTCAGTCGCCAGCAGATTCGTGCCATGCGTAAGCAGAATCGTTTCAGTCGTCAGCAGAATCGTGCCATGCGTTAGCAGAATCGTGCCATGCGTCAGCAGAATCGATCGTGCTAGGCGTCAGCAGAATCGTGCAGTCGTTAGCATAATCGTTTCCGTGGTCAGCAGAATCGTTAGCGCTGGATTGCACCCTGGAGAGCTGGTGTGAGTGCAGTCATTCCTGAGACGCCGTGGCTTTCACAACACTGCGCCGCTCTCGTTACTTCATCGACTATCACGAGAACATCAAAGACGGCTATCGGACATTGAATTTATGATCTGATGATCATTTATGTAGTATATATTATTCGCTTGAGACAACTATGCTTGAAAATTATTGTAAAATTACTTGTCTAAAATATTTATTTCGAAATATATTACATGTAGAAAATATTGACAGTGAAAATGACCAATAAGAAGATTTTTTCTGCTACCGAAAATGTGTTCGATGTTTTTCATACACAGACACAGTTTGTAAAGTTTTTTTTTATTAACTGATTAACATACAGATACAGTTTTTTTTTAATTATGTTGAAGCGAGAACCTCTCGCACGAATTCCCATACAAATCTTGTTGATCGGACAAATTGTGTTAATCGAAAATGTACAAAGGACATTGGTTCCTTATGTCGATACTTGATAAAATGAGCTATAGAAATTATCTGGTGCTTTACTGTAGCTTAAATATTTTAATATCTTCTTATTTCCCATGAATAGATTTATTTTCATCATTCAGCAAATGCACGCACAAAGACTATACAAAATTATTTATTTGGCTTTCATTTTGTTTTCATGGGTAATTTACTTATGAAAACTTTACCCCTCACTATCAAGTTTCCTTGAAAGCTAATGTAAGTCACCCGGGAAAATATTACCCGAATAATTCTAGTGAAGCTAGGAAATCCCTTTAAAAATAATCCCAATGGAACACGGCATCCAACTCAAGGTAATCCAGTTACTTTGCAAAATACCACACAAAATAATTCCTATTACCGCAGAAAAACTGCCTTCCTCCGAGACTGTAACGCAAAAGATTATTTCCTGTGTCATTCCATGCAACAAAAATGAAAGGATTGCAGAAAATGCAGCGTCATGCCCTATCTCTACCCTGATCACCTTCTTGACGACTGTACATTGTACAGTACGTGCATTTGGTCCACAGGTATTATCCTTATCTTATGTATATCAAACATTCATTTATATCAAACACCCTTGCAATGTCTAGTCATGCAAGTTATTATGCAAGTTATTCAGGGCAAAAACTTGTTGAGGAAAAGTTCTAGTGAACGTTTTTTATTTATTTTTTATCTGACTGAATGTATCTCCAATTACATTTTAGGCAATTTTTTAGTTAGATTGAAGAACATAATTATTGCTTTATCAAATCTGGCACTCTTATAATGAACGAGGAAATATTTCTGATAATATCTTGTAAATATTGATAGTACAGAAATGAAATGAAGGTTATATCGTCACCGCTATATATATCGTCACCGCTATATATATCGTCACCGCTATATATATCGTCGCCGCTATATATATCGTCGCCGCTATATATATTGTGTGCATACGTGGTGCATGGCAAGGCAACTCCGTTACACCTGATGGAGTATCTCATCTCCACACAATGTTCCCTTCTAATGGATGCTAAATTTATTCTGGATAGCGTCACCACTCGCGAATTTAATCTATGTTTTTATTTCCCAACGTAATTTACAACGTTTAATTGTAATGGATAGTGGAATTTAAATACGCTTTCAAGAACTTTACATACAAGATCAATTATTCACTCATTATACATAAATAAATAAAAATAAATAAAAGATATATATTCCCTGATTCCATGCATTGAAAAATGACGAAACCAACCACCCCGCTAGCATTTTATCCTACAAACATTGACAGTTAGAGGAAAACTTTGACCAGTAAATAATTGTCACTGTACGAATGATTGCTATGCTTGTTCACGTACTAACATCAAATAAAAACATTTACAGAGCCATTAACGAGTAGCACGTAATAGATGGAAACATTTTCCGCGAGGTTTAATTTGATCCAATCCCCTTATGGCATCCCTCATATATCCTCTCTTTGTGTTTTGTTAAAAGTTGTCCCTACAACCTCCTTTCGCTGGGGAATGTGAAGCAACTTTCCTTTCACTCTCGCGTGGCTCAGCTGCGGCAAAGTGGCGTGCATGGCGTGGTGGTCGCGGGGGTGTAAAGAATGAAACGCGCTCTTGTTGTACACTGTGCACATTCTACACCTCTTCGTTCGGAAACTGTAACGAATGAAACGCGCTGTGCACATTCTACACATCTACGTTTGGAAACTGTAACGAATGAAACGCGCTGTGCACATTCTACACCTCTACGTTTGGAAACTGTAACGAATGAAACGCGCTGTGCACATTCTACACATCTACATTTGGAAACTGTAACGAATGAAACGCGCTGTGCACATTCTACACCTCTTCGTTGGGAAACTGTAACGAATGAAACGCGCTCTTGTTGTACCCTGTGCACATTCTACACCTCTTCGTTCGGAAACTGTAACAAATGAAACGCATTCTTGTTGTACACTGTGCACATTCTACACCTCTTCGTTCGGAAACTGTAACGAATGAAACGTGCTCTTGTTGTACACTGTGCACATTCTACACCTCTACGTTCGGAAACTGTAACGAATGAAACGCGCTCTTGCTGTACACTGTGTACATTCTACACCTCTACGTTGGGAAACAATTGTTCGTGTCGAAGAACCGCCACCATCTCGTGCGGCCTTAGGAATGCCCGACGTGGAGACAACGTCTTCTTACGCAACCTCCAGACGCTGTTACTCTCAGCAACGTTGCTGTTGCTAAAACAATTGTCGGAAATCCTGCAGAAAAATGGCGAGATAGTTTATTTGATGCCGTGACTGAGCGGTCGAGCTGGTGTTCTTTATTAGCACGGAGAAAATAAATGTATTTTAGAAGCAATTTCTGTCCATGTTAATTAATTGTGTATTCACAGAAGTGCTGAGTGGTCATATGTTTAGAGCTATTCAGACGTGCAACTACATAAATGGAATAAGTTTTGTAATTAATGCTAAGAAATTTCCAACGCTACTTGTAAATGGAAAGATTCCATGTTCTGCATATATAGTTTGTGTGGGAGGGATATGCAAGTTTAACAATGTATTTATGTGGCAAGATTGTTTATTATAGGGTGCTCTATGAACATTTCATGGAAAATCTCTATTTGCAATTAGAATATATTTCAAATTTAACACGATAAGTGGGGAAAAATGATAAAACACTTGTGGCAGAACTATTTAACATCATGCAGTTATTTTCAGGGCATCAAATCATAGCCATAACGATATTTATTTAATTAACATGCATTTAGCTTTCGCACACTATTATAAGTCGAGGTATAATACCATTTTCCGAGTTCACTTCAATGATCGCAATCAAACGGAATTTATTATTATGCATTAATTAGTCCAGGATTGGGTGCTTGGTACCTTGCACCGTAAATATATACAAAGGTTGTTTGGACACTTATTCACGGTTGGTGCCTATATATGGACCTGAAAATGTATTTCTAGTGGGATAATTGTGAGGCATTACAAAACTGAGAGAGGGAGGCCGGATGAAAAATTTAAAATTCAATTTTTTAATTGGCACGCCTAAATTTTTTATAAAAGTAGCAAAATAGTCGCTTCACATTTTTTTACGCGTGTCAAATTAGAGTTCCATCTAAAATGTGGGGTTAAACGGGTCTATTTTTAACTAGAATGCAATATTTTTATTATTGTCAACGGTATTCTAAAATTGCCCCAGAAAATTCATAGCGTACAACGCCAAGTTAATAATATTGAATATTAATAATTAGAACGGTTATTTACCCTGAACGATCAGTAACAGTGGCTAGCTGCGGCAAAGTAGGATAGTTTCTAACGGCTGTACATATATAACGACACATAATGTAAAATACATCATCTTTTGATCTGCATCCGAGTATATATACATGTACATATATGACGAAATGAGAATTTGGTAATTAATCCTAATTTTCAGCGCTTGTTTTCCCAACTCAATACATTTAAAATTTGATCAACTCTACTCTGACAGGAAGCTCATTGTGATTTTACACCATCACGGACGAATTGGAGATCTACTCTAAAAATTATTTTGAAGATTTCACGAATTATATTATTTTTGAAATTATTCAAGTTACACACATTAATTCTAAATGTGATAAATAGGCCAAAAATTCGTAATTGTTTGTTCGCCAGTCACCATAAGAAAAGTGTTATATTAGGTGGCATCCCAAACAAAATTTAGAGTCGCCCCAGTTTCTGGTACTCAGAAGTTGACGCGTCTGTAAATTTTCACTGGGTTTGTAACCCAAACAAAATTTAGAGCCGAGGGCGGCTCTGGATTAATTAAGGAACGCCCAGGACTCGGGGAGCATAGTCCACCAGCTTCCCTTTGTCCGCTTTTTGGTCTTCATTCCGGTCCCAGAATCAGACAGCTACAAGCGTCTGGTACTTATTCTGCCAACTCTTGCCCTACTTTCAGGAGACTATAAAGTCGGCAAGGAGGTTCTAACTAGTCACTGACTGCGATCAGTTGGCCAACTGACCCAGAATAACTCTTACGCGAACATAGCAACTCTGTGGCGGAGGCTGAAGCATACCCCGAATTTTGTCAGGAAAGGGACAAGAAGATGGAGGTGGAGGCTAGTGTCCCAAGCCTCGTGGCGGGTGAGGCAGGATGGCTGCACACCGCACTGGCCGCCCTCCTGCCCTACATCATCTGGGTGCCGTACCAGGTATGTCAAGATTATGAAATTAAATTTAAATGAAAATTATATTAAAATTAGGTCGGTCTTAATAAATTTACAAGGATCATGGATAATTACTATTCGGGAAATATTTTTCTATATATTTTGGGCATGTAATTAAATGTAGGAAATTTTATAATCACGTATTTATTTTTTTAGTATGTTGTATACACGAGCGTTACTGATGGCACTATAGTTACTGTGAACAAAATGGTGGAAGATGCTTTTTTATTGCAAATGAAAAAATGGCGCTGTCCAAATTCGACGCCGGTCGTGGAATTAAACGACACGTTCCAAATGTAACTTCAGTATAAACACACACTAAACAATATATAAGAAATGATATATTAGGAATTTTAATTAATAGTAGCAAATCAACTTGGAAAAAAGTATTGGCAAATGACTTCACAGCTTAGATATGTCGAGCTCTGGAATAATTTTTTGCATCACCAGATCGTCTCTTCAAAATATGAAGAAACTTCATATTTTGCGGCGTTTTATTATTATTATTATCATTTTATTTTTTTAGCTGAAAAATCGCTGCCTATATATACAAGAAAAACATGACAAAAATTTCAAATTTTGCTCAAGGCAACAAACAATGTTTTGCACGCAACCTTATGTGTGTGACTGGATTAGCCTCGCATGCCTATAATAATAGATGGACCGCCGGTGCTGAACATATTGTAAATGATACATTGGACACATATGAATGTATATATAAATATGTTACTGGGGTCATAATAGATAGATATAATATTGAAGTTATTCAGTATTGCGTAAATTCAGTATTATTAAAGTGTAAATTTATTTTTATATGCGAAAGTGACTACATCCTATTAATATTTATTAAAAATTTGACTTTAGAACTGATATAAAAATATTTTTTGCTACAAATGATAACGCATAAAATTGTATGTAAAATACTGGTATTTAGAGAAGTTAAGGCAATAAATCCCTTTTTAATGCATTACAAAATGAACGTGACTTGTGCCTACCGAACTGTTCCATCTTGCAAATCATTGATCTGAACATTGATCAGCCATGGACGCCAGCCCTGCGAGTCCAGTGATGGGCATATCAACTTAGACAATCGTGGCTACGTTGTGGATAAAGAATGATGTGGATAAAGAATAAAATATTAAGTGTATAAAGAATGACGTGGATAAAGAATGATGTTTACGTGCAGGTATATTTGTCTCTCAACGACGGTGGCTGGAAGACGCTGGTCAAGCAAATAACTTTCGGCTCAACGTCCGTGGTGAGTCAGAACAAACATCTCTGTAACGATCTAACGCTCATTGTTTGAAGTTAAATTTCATTCATTGTTATTATACTCTTCATTTTATATTATACCATTCATTCATCTAACTAAATAATTTTATGATTGTATTTTACTCTGCTAGATAAAAAAATAGGGGTTGGAAAATATCATTGTAATGCCTATTAATATTATTATTTCAGAATGGACTGCTCGGTTTCTCTCTCGTCATTTGATTTCTGAATTAGCGCTGGTTTGGCCCGTTGTTGACAGATTTGATTAACGGCTGAACACATTAAAGTCAGACTATGTTAATGGCCCGTTACTGCCCTATTTTGTTAATGGCATAGCTCACTATACTACCGGATTTCGTTTTAGGTTGAAACAGTTTTTGGACGATTTTGACTATTCTTTGATATTTTCCTTCGCCATTATGTTCATAGTCGATCAAGTTTATTATCTCGATGATTGTGCTTATTGCTTGAAGTGTTACTATTCGATTTTATTCGTGGTTAAACCCCATACTGATTGATTTTTTATGGTTTGAAATATTGTCAATGATCGATTCAACACTGGCTTATGGTAGAACTATTCAATGATTTTCTCCCTTCGTTATTATTATTATCAATAATAAAAGTAACACATGAACATTACACAAATTTCATCACCATACAAAACTGCATCATCACGAGAATACTGTGTGTTGTTTGCGTTCAAGAAGTTAAGAAGCGCGGACAGCAAACAACATGTCTTGCAGTGACTTGACTTCAGATGACCGTTCTAGATTCTGCTGACTCATGCCTGCACACGACCGTGACTACGATTGATAAATTGCGTATTTTCTCGAATTTTCTCAGAGTCATCATAAATATTTTATAACGATCTGCATATATGATCGTATGGTCGGATAGTACACGTAAGCCAAACACAAAATATTTGTGTTTGGCTTACGTAATATTTTGGCTCCCTTCAAAATATTTAAATATTTTGGCTCCCTTCAAAATATTTAAATATTTTGGCTACCTTCAAAATATTTAACCGATATGTACAATACGTATTATAGTGACAGCGATGAACTCACTGTTTCGTCAAATTTCAAACAATCTTTTTATTTTACTCTGCAACATAATCGGACATTCTCATTAGTCTATATATGATAAATAAAAATGTGACAATCGTCATGAGCTTTCTTCTTTGAAAGAGTTTTGAAACTTCTATATATCCAATTATGAAGTAGGTCTTCAGAAGTTCAATCAAAGAAGGAATCAAATAGCTAGGGAGCTTATGAAAGATTTTTTGTTCCACTTTGTGAGATGCAAATCCAAGAAGGCATCTAAATGTTATCACCTGCTCGGCTGTATCAGTGGTTCCCTATGTAGGCGGTACCGCCCCTTGTAGGCGGTGAAAAGATCTGGTGGGACGGTGAAGAAGAAGGGGGCTGTAGGGGGGCGGCACTCAGAAGTAAGAAATTCAAACTTTTGTTCAAACTTCTTCCATGTTTCCAACGTTTGAACGTTTCTCCAAACGATTTATACACAACACGTGCAGCACACGGCTCCCAGCGATTGGGTTTTCCACCCAGATCTGTTTTTTTGAACCTATCATGGGTTTTTAGTGTAAATTTTTTAAAATAATCAAAATCTGTTTTTCTTGTGAGTCTGTGGGGGGGGGGGCGCTATGTGAAAATTATGTGTCTAATTCACTGGGGAGCCAAGTGAGCGCCATGCAACCTGCAGAAGTTTGATAACCACTGGGCAATATGGTCGATATCAATTTCAGTGAACGATGATTCGTAAATTAAATTTCAAGGGTATGCTGGCTCCGTTACTCTGATAGTGAGAAGTTAAGCCTAAAAAATTATTTACTTTAATAAATGTGAACGGATGGCTGAGTAATCAAGATCATTGAGATTTTCAACAGAGATGTGTGGGTTTGAGCCTCAGCTGGCAATCAAAACCTTAATTGTAGAGTTCGGCCAAGCGGCAGGCTGTTTAAGAAAAACATGACTGAAGCAGTAGGTTGTGGGTTTGAATCCTAGCTAGCTGTGTCAGTTCTGCGAAGTCTGATGTTGGTGACATACCCAACATGGCACGATCTTCAACGCTAATACAAATATATTAATAAAATGAAGTTAAAAGTTTAATTGCTCCTTCGCCAGATTTGACAGATTGATTAGGAGGAACAAATATGTCTCTTTTGACGCTTAGTATTTTCTCGATAGTTTGCAGTAGCATAAAAGGAAAAATGTCCAACAAACCATAAGGGATATTAGTAAGAAGCACACTGAAATGTCTTGCAGCTGGGCTTGCCTGCGTTTGATATTCAAGAAGGTTCACAATGTTTGGGGTTCGACCAGTTCTGCGTTCACCTCTCTAGGGTGAACCGGTTGGGTGGAAACTGAGGTTGAACCGGAGGGTTGGTCTCGTGGTCCGGTTGTTTGGAAGCTCGGTGTACCCAGCTCTGTGTACCCAGCTCTGTGTACCCAGCTCTGTGTACCCAGCTCTTACCCAGCTCGGTGTACCCAGCGCGGTGTACCCAGCGCGGTGTACCCAGCGCGGTGTACCCAGCTAGTTTTTTCCGTGGAAGGGTAAAAGTAGGGGATAAAAAAGGCAGCTACCGCTGCTCTAGAACCAAAAATTATGACTTAATAACTGATCCTATAAAGTAATTTTTATTTCACATTATCACATATGAAAAAATCAGTAAAAAATGGATAGTTGGGCAAATGGGGCAAAATTCGTTGATAAAGTATAAAAAATATGTTTAGCCACATGTTGCCGTACAGATTATTGATATCAATGGAAACGAGCTACAGGCGCCAACCTTGCAAGGCGAGTGAAGGGAACTGTACGCGTGAAAGCTGATCGCTCCGAACAAAAACGATCTGTGCGTCACAAGAGGCGTAATGGCCCTAGAGGATGCAATTGGTGCAACCGTCATAAAAAATACTCAAAAGCCATCACAGTCGCAAATAAGCATTGCCTCGAAGATTTATTACCACATGAAAGTTACTGAGGAGTATGTATTGTTGTGACACTCGTTGATTTGTACCTTCACTTGACGCTGGCCACATTGAAAAGTTCAGTAGCGTAGGGTAAGACACTCCGCTTTACGCTCACCACTCCAGAGAACGGTTATATATAACTGCATTGTCCAGCTGCATATAAAGTATGAATAAATAAAATCTGAAAATCTTCGCCTAAAATACGTAAACCTGAAAACGAAAAGGAAACATTAGCTTTTACATAAATATGATTATTAATAATGATTTAATCGGTTCCATTCCCTAAAAAAGCTATTTGTGATCTTTTGTGCAATTTACAGGAATTAGAAGTTAGAATTCATCCTCGTCTTGTGCATTTTTTTTTGCTTTAGATGTTGAGAAAGGACCGAAGAGTTATTTCGCTCGTTATGCGACCTATTTTCCTATTTAATTAACACCGTGAGGATAACTTATTTGCAATGCAATATTATTAATTGAGATTAATTTAATTTCACTAGCTACGATGAAATTCTCATTATTTTCGACATTATCAATATTGAGAAAATATAAATTTAATTTTCTCAATATCATATGATATGTGATTCTAGAATTAAATAACTCTATCCACTAAAAGCATTCACAACCCCCCATACGATACAGCGAACCTGCGACTAAAGTAACACTCATATAAATGCTTTTCTATATATATGAATAATTCAGAATCATAAGTCGGATTTAATATCGTCTTTTTATAAAATTCCCGAGTTAAATTTGTGTAAGCCGATGTCGAATTAATGACGCCTGAGTTCCTATAAGTTTTGCTTACCCTCGGCAGACCAGCGGCCATGCCGGCGCTAAGCCGGCGCTGGAGGCGCGTTGTCAGCGGCAGCCTGATGCGCCTACGCGGCCTGACGCCGGCGTGACGTGGCAGCGCATCAGTCACTGCATGGAGCGATACACGGTCCAATCAGTGAGTCCAATCAGTGATACACCTGTAGCAACACACGGTCCAATCACTCAGTCCAATCAGTGATATTACTGATATAATGTAGCAACACACGGTCCAATCAGTCAGTCCAATCAGTGATACACATGCAGCAACACACGATCCAATCAGTGATACACATGCAGCAACACACGGTCCAATCAGTCAGTCCAATCAGTGATGCACCTGTAGAAACACACGGTCCAATCAGTCAGTCCAATCAGTGATACACATGTAGCAACACAAGGTCCAATCAGTCAGTCCAATCAGTGATACACCTGTAGAAACACACGGTCCAATCACTGATACACATGCAGCAACACACGGTCCAATCAGTCAGTCCAATCAGTGATACACCTGTAGAAACACACTGTCCAATCAGTCAGTCCAATCAGTGATACACATGTAGCAACACACTGTCCAATCAGTAAATATTTTTTGATGCACAGTTGACTTGAGCCTTGAAATATATTTAGTGATCGACTAAACGTGAACCAAAAAATACTATGCTATGATTTTGTTGAATAACAAAAAACAAATAACTCAACCTAAAGATCATTCTAGAAATATATTGAGATTTTTATTATTGCCAACATGGGTCTTTGGACTGTTTAAGCAATGAAATGCTTAAACCTTGAAAAATGTTGAGGCAATATTTCTAGACTAATAATTAAGTAAGGATGTTGACATCCTTCACATTCGGTCATGCTGCTCTACATTCTTCTACAGAGGGACGGTTCCGAGGGTCATGAAGGAAATGATCACATCTGGTCCATATTACTAAAAAACTCAATTAGGATTTTTTTAGATATTTTTGATATTAACTTCGGTATCGCTACTTCAAAAAACAGTTGCTAGTTGACTTAATCGAACAACATGTTTCAAACTATGGCAACTTGATTCACGTTTCTCTTTTATTGAACAAGATCTTAAGTCTTCCTTTTAAAATACCTACGGAGGAGGCATTTTGACCCATTCCTCCTCTGGAAGAATATGGCTTTTGTTAACTGAGTTCTCTCGATTTGAACCCCAATACGTACATAATACAACTTTCAGGCATATTAATAATTGATATTACCCTATCATTTGGCTAGAGATAAACTTGACTGATATTTTCAGAGCAAGTCGGAAGGCTCAGACCGCCTTGTGCTGATGTACGCATGGCTGACGTCCAAACGTCACCACGTGCACAAATACGCTTCGCTCTTCACCGACCTCGGCATGGACGTCGTAACTGTTAAGATAACGGGCATGGACCTCATGCAGCCAACGACGGGTTCCCAGGTGCGAAGAACCCTTGTAATATTCTCCTTGTATTATTTACGGAGAAAAATCTCAACCGTTTTCACATATCAATCCTAAATAACTGAGGTTAATTACCCCAAACAAAAATGGACTCGAGTCTCACGCAACTAACGTCCAAGACTAGGCTCTGAACTGGGACTAATAATAAAGGCAGAAATACTATAAGCACTGCTAGTTTGCATAAAAATAATCGAATATTATCATTGTTGATGAGATCATTAATTTAATAACTATAAATCGATCTGTGGACCAGGCGGTGGCCAAGGAGGTGGTCGAGTTCTTGGCAGGTCAGCCCCAGTACAGCAGAATCCTCGTGTTCGGCTTCAGCGTCGGGGCCTACGCCTTCAGCGAGGCCGTTAAGATGGTGAGGTGCAGTGAGGCCACCAACAAAAGTATAAACCAATAAATACAGTAAACCAATGGACTTAAACAGCCACTGATGAAAAGTAATGTAAAAGAAACAGATTAAATAGTGAGGCATGAGATCTCAACTCCTGTGAGCGTGGCTGTAACAGTGAAGTACTTGTCGTTCATTTTTAGTGACTTACATCTTGAGTGTTTATTCTTGATAATAATTAATACCATAATTTATTTACGTTTTTCGACTTCTATCAATTCGATAATAGTAATCAGTTAGATTTAATTATTTATGTTTGGTTATTCAGTTTATTTAGTAGTCTTCACTTCATTTCGTAACAAAATCCGAATTATTTTAATTTCCATATTACCCCCGTATCAAAAATTTCTTAATTTCGGCAGATGCACGAGCGTGGGGAGTACGCTGGGGTGAAGGAGCGCCTAGTGGGACACGTGTGGGACTCCCCCGTTGACCTCCCCAACATGCCCATCGGCGTCGCCACGAGCGTCACCGCCAACGAGAAGATCAGGCGCTACGTCACCAGCTGCGTCGAGTGCGTCGCTAGTGATCCCATGCGTCACTGACGCTGAAATTAATTAAAATAAAACGGATGTTAAGTCAACAAATACCAAATGCGTCACTGGCGCTGAAATTGATTAAAGTATAACGGATGTTAAGTCAATAAATACCAATTGCGAATAAATAAATGAAATAAATGAAACAAATGAAGCTGAAATAAATTAAAATACAACGCATGTTAAGTCAACAAATACCAAAAGCGTCACTGGCGCTGAAATTAATTAAAATACAACGGTTGTTAAGTCAACAAATAACTTTTGGTTCACAAGTATGTCGACCTAATATTGAATGATGGCGCTCTAATAGCGTGAGATGCGTATAAATGTTATGAAGACTCGAGGCATCATCACCAGCTACGTCGAGTGTATGGAATGCGCACCATAATTTCCTCCATCTCTAGGGCTAGGATGATAGAATAAAGTAATTAACGAAATATGTTTTGTACCAGCATGCAACGACACCAAAAGAAAATTTTACGGCCATTGATTTCTAAATGCAATGAAAAAATTGTGTTTTGTCAGCAGAGGCATTGGGCATCGAAATTCCCGATGAGAGTGATTACAAAATTATTTTATTTACGAAGAGCAGTCATGGCTTTTACTTTATTTCTGGAGTTTTGGAAAGATTGAGACGAAATATGAAATGATACGTAACTACTTTGTCAAAATCATTTCAGTTACGGCAATGGAAGTAAATATTTTTACGTTCGAAGCCGTACACCACAAGCATTAAGTTCCGCATTAAAAGACTTACTGTTGCAGAAATGTGATGACTTAAGCAACACTTCTATCTGTGAATGATTTGAAACTTAAGTATGGACCACTAAAGTCCGCAGAAACGTTATCCGATCTTTTTGCACTGCCAAAATTTTAAATTAATTTGCAAAATAATGTACACGCACGATCATGTAATGAACGGTTTTCACTTCACAGAACCTTTCTCAATGATACAAATTATTTCGAACATAACTTATACGTACGAATATTTCATAATTTTGGCAGACTCAAAATGAAGTTCCTAAATGATAATTCTATATAGCAGACTAAAAATGAATTAAATTTGCTATATTCATGTTATGTTCAGCTACTTTCTGCGAACCCAACAGAAGCAACCTGAAATGATGACAATATTAAATGTATTTATTGTGCTTAGCTGTTTTAGCAAATCGAACCTATGCAGAATAAAAATGACCGTATTAAAAACTCACGTTTACTGTGTCCAGTAAACTTTTATTGTGTCCCTGAAGATCCGAAATTTATATGCTGGCTAGTAATGGTCGCATTTTAAAATTGAATTTATTGTTCCCAGCAATTGATTCTGCGAACCCAACAAATGCAGAAAAAAACATGATCATGTTTAAAATAAATTTATCATGTACAGCTGGTTCCTGAGGACCCGACACGACGTGGCTACGCGCCACTACATCGCCGCTGCTAATTATTTCTACCGCGGGCCCGTGGCTGGCCCGAGTCTGTACATGTGCTCGAGCTGCGACCCGCTCAGCCCCGTGCCTGTCAACGACAGGATAACCGGCAGGTGGCAACAGCTGGGACATGACGTGAGTTGGGCGCAACAGCGGCTACCGGCTTGAATGTAGGCTTATTTAAAACATTAAGACTGCTCGTGGTTTCGTGTTCCTGGAAAAGGAAAGGTGGGACACGACGTAAGTTATGTTTAAGTTAAACCCTCAGTGACTGAGGGTTTAATTCCAAAGATGAAACTCAAGATTGCTCATACATCTAAACCTGCAATTTATAGGAAAAGACGGAAACTGGTTTATGAAATACGCTTCATGTTTCAAAATTAAGAGGGACAAATTCCATAGCAAAAATGAGCGTTTTTCAAATTAGATGGAAATAACTGGCAAAGTTTATTATAACTTACGTGACTGACGGCAGCATGTGATTTAATGGGAAACATAGATATTCTGTAATTACTAATATTTTAAACAACTAAACAAAATCGCGTGACTTAATTCGATTCAAGTACTGGTACTTAAAAGTTTGTTAGGCATCTTACGTTTAAATAAATTTCATTTAACGTTGTTTCAACGAAATCAACTCGTAATCAACATTGTTTCCATGCCCGTCAAATGGTCTGAATAAATTCCTCCTACATTATAAATTAACGCTACTCGAATGCATATGCATTTCACTTAAGGGGCACAACACATTCAATACTTTAAAACTTGTCGATTTAATGCATATATAAACTTTCAGGTGACAACAAAAGTGTTCGAAGACACCGCCCACTGCGCCAACTACACCAAGTATCCCAAGGAGTATCGCAATTTGGTGCTCCAGTTCGTCGACAAGATCGGCATGCTCCACTGAGAGACTCCGTTAATTAAAGGCTGAGTTTTGTCATTGAGGATTGAAAATTAAACGAAGTCAAGGAGTTGCCGATGATCGTCGACAAGATCGGCATGCTCCACTGAGAGACTCCGTTAATTAAAGGTTGAGTTTTGTCATTGAGGATCGAAAATTAAACGAAATCAAGGAGTTGCCGATGAATGGCTTCAGTTAAGCGAACCAGTAAATTAGATTAGCACGGATGGAAGCGGTAACATGCCTAACAAAATTTAGAGTCGCCCAGGCTTCTGGTACTCTAAATCAGAAGCTGCCGCGTCTGTAAATTTTCACTGGACAGATCTTGGTAGGTTGGGAATAATGGGATTTACAAAGGAACTGAAAGAATTATGTGTTAGCACTGTTCAATGGTGCATATAAAATCTCTGCACCGTCTACTTACTATTTATAGAAAATATGTAGAAATTTACACCAGCTAGGTGTAGAAACTTGCAACCACACAACGAATAACGCATTTTGAATTCCACATCCATGATCGACAAGATTACGTGCTGCTATTGGCTGATTTAAGCTCACATGTCACACATTATCAACCATGACAGCCTCTTCCCACTTTCAACACCGCAAGTTGCGACCACCGTAATATGTATATGTAAGGGTATCAGAACGTTAGTCCCTGAATATTGCGATCAATATTGTGAATCACATACATTATGGAAGTGATGCAATAATAGAAAACCAATAAAACAAATATATATATATATACAAATCATGAATGTCTACGCATTAAATATTATTTTGTGTTTTGTTTCTCCAGCGAAATGCTATTCTCGTAAATGGGCTTTGTCGGGTCCGGTGTCATCGTTTATTATATGCATGCATTTATAATCACGAATATCCTTAGTCTATATACTTACTCGTAGAATATCTGCCGTATGGTGAATGCCTGATGAGTAATGTAAATATTGAATCTTAGTTTGGGCAAAATGGACGGAAAATGGCAAATATTGTATACTTATACTGCTGGCAAGTTAATGCCGACATAAGATCTTTTTCATTCGTATTACGCAAAAATTGAATCTGGTGGGCATTCACTAAAAATATCTAAAAGACGCTAATTTTTTTTATAAAATCATGTAATCACAGTGTATCCACACGTCAGAGCATGCAGGCATGCAACTGGATACCTACATAAGCGGTCAAACTAGCGAAACGTGTTACCTATACGCGCTGCCATTAAGCGGTCAAGCTGGAGAGACGTGCTACCTATACGCGCTGCTATTAAGGGGTTAAGCTAGAGAGGCGTGCTACATATACGCGCTACCATTAAGTGGTCAAGCTAGAGAGACGTGCTACCTATACGCGCTACCATTAATTAAGTGGTCAAGATAGAGAGACGTGCTATATATACGCGCTACCATTAATTAAGCAGTCAAGCTAGAGAGACGTGCTACATATACGCGCTGCCATTAATTAAGTGGTCAAGCTAGAGAGACGTGCTATATATACGCGCTGCCATAATGCGGTCAAGCTAGAGAGACGTGCTACCTATACGCGCTACCATTAAGCGGTCAAGCTGGAGAGACGTGCTACCTATACACTCTGCTATTAAGCGGTCAAGCTAGGGAGACGCGCTACCTAGACACTCTGCTATTAAGCGGTCAAGCTAGAGAGACGTGCTACCTATACACTCTGCTATTAAGCGGTCAAGCTAGGGAGACGCGCTACCTAGACACTCTGCTATTAAGCGGTCAAGCTAGGGAGACGCGCTACCTATACACTCTGCTATTAAGCTGTCAAGCTGGAGAGACGTGCTACATATACGCGCTACCATTGAGCTGTCAAGCTGGAGAGACGTGCTACCTATACGCGTTACCATTAAGCAGTCAAGCTGGAGAGACGTGCGTGGTGCAGCGCAATCGGTCACAATATGTGCAAGAGTGTGTGCGTCAACAGTGCATGGATGTCAGTGTTTGAGTGTCGGTGTTTTGCGATAGATGGTTTTTGTTTAGAAACAAGGTACGAAGCGTGCAAAACCTCTAAAGCAATAAGCGAAGACATTATTAAGTTGAGTTAATTTCTGCGCATGAAGCCTGATAATTTATTAAAGAATTCTGTTTACTATATTTTACCAACATCATAATATGCCATTATTCGTATGCCAAACAGTAGAGGCGTAGACTATATACGTCCGGCATATTTTACAGCTTTTTCATAAACTTCTAGGCATTATTACAATGTCTAACAGTGTCTGCCGCTAAAAACGATTTATAGACTGGTCAACGGGGTGGCTCGAACATGATTATTAAAGTTGTAGTGGCAGTGCATATAGATGGTACCATTACAGGTTGAAGTATTCATACGTACTCTAGAACGATGATGGTATCATTCCACGGTGATTTTTCCTATTCGTACTCGAGGACAATTAAGGTACAATTTCTGAGTTATGTTTTCCTACGCACTCTAGAATATTCCTATATCGTACCATTCCATGTGTTGTTTACGCCCTCACTCATGTACCCGGTGGCACGTAAACCAGTGTAACCAGTCATATATAGTGAAGAAAGGTACTCGCATTACTCATGAATCAAGCAACTCTGCTCCTATTCTCCAGTGCTCGTCTCCTCCAAGAACCGGTCCCAGTATGTTAAAGAATTTCTAGGAATCATATGTGCAATTTTCTTTAGATTTAAAATTGGTAATACGTGCTCTGAGAATAAATAATCGCCGAACAGAAACTAGTGTTGCGGGTGCCGCGGATGAGGGAGGTGATGCGATGCTCGGTGATGTATTATATTTTTTTCTGAGCGCAACCACTTATCTATTTTTATGTTATGTACGTTAAATATTTGAGTTATTCATACGATATATTAGTTAATAACACGAAAACCTAAAATTATTTCGATGGAGGTGACATAATTTGGGTTTATGTAAGCATTCCTTGCAGTGCAAAATTCCAGAGCGCTGTGAAATTCGAGCGCGGTGCAAACTTTAAGGCGGTGAAAATTCATTGCGATGCGAAATGCAAGAGTGGTGCAAAATGAGTGGGGTGCAAAATGAGTGTGGTGCAAAATGAGTGTGGTGCAAAATGTATGTGGCGTGCAAAATGTAAGTGTGGTGCAAAATGAGTGAGGGGTAAAATGCAAGTGGCGTGCAAAATGAGTGTTGTGCAAAATGCAAGTGTGGTGCAAATGCAAGTGAGGTGCAAAATGAAAGTATGGTGCAAAATGAGTGTGGTGCAAAATGCAAATGTTGTGCAAAACGCACTGAGGTGCAAAATAAAAGTGTGGTGCAAAATGAAAGTGTGGTGCAAAATGAGTGTGGTGCAAAATGCAAATGTTGTGCAAAACGCACTGAGGTGCAAAATAAAAGTCTGGTGCAAAATGATTTAGGTGAACAATAAGTGTGATGCAAAATGAGTGTGGTGCAGAATGGGTGTGGTCCAAAATGAGTGTGGTGCAAAATGAGTGTGGTGCAAAATGTGGGGCAAAATGAATGTGGTGCAAAATGAGTGTGGTGCAAAATGTGTGGCAAAATGAATGTGGTACAAAATGAGTATGGTCCAAAATGAGTGTGGTGCAAAATGAGTGTGGTGCAAAAGCAAGCGTGGTGCAAAATGCAAGCTTATTGCAAAATGCAAGCGTGTTAGAAAATGGTGAGGTACGGTACAAATTGCAAGATTAAAATGCATTTGCATGCAAACGCAAAATGCAAAACGCAATTGCGCACTCTAGTTGCAAAATGCATGCTTAAATGCAAATAAATGGCAGACGGTTGACCCTAACAAAGCCTACCAAAAAGCACAAATTAAGCATTTTTTATTTCGATGGAGACTTTACTATAAGGGTAATATTTTTTCTGGTGCGAGGGATTGAATTTAATGAGGTTTAATTTAGGGCCTTAAACTGAGAACTAGTTAGTTAGTTTTTTAAAAAAGTTTTTATGCATTAGTTGTTAATACCATTTAATTGAATGACGTTATTCGACCGAATTATTTTTGATTAAGGAATTAAAGGAGAGTGTCGTGTTGATTTAAAATATGTGGGTGCGTGTAAACGAAGTGAATATATTTTGTAATACAAGTAATTTAATTTTTATAGTAACTCGTAATGCTGTTTTTAACTATATAATCAGGACATGAATAATTATGAGTATTAGTTACGTTGAAAATTGAAATAAGTATTGAATTAAAATTTTAAAAATTGTAAAAAACCTTAAAATGTTTTTATATACGAGTGTTAGCGTTAAACTTGTTAATGACAAGGTTAATAATAATGACATGGGCTTAGTAGATTGATGTTCAATTATCGAAAGTGCCCATTTATAATATGTGCGATGAATAAAGTATTTTTTTATCTGTTGATTTTCACAGAATTTTGTCCAGTATATTTTAATTAGTGTTTTATTCATTAACACATTATTGAATTATATAAATTTATTGTTGCCCCAATTTTTCTTTTAAGCGTGACCTAAGATGAATAGAATGAAGAATATTGTATCAATGGTATAACAGAGACAAGGATTTTAATTGTGAGTGACCGAATCGTCAAAGTAAATTAATTTAAAGACATACGAGTCTCGAACTGCATTTAAAATTTTAAGAAGATTGTAATAAGTGAATATGCTAAATCTGTGATAATTTGATTTACAATTTGTCTAGTACTACTTACTGGTTATGCACCTGCGAGTGAACCATGCACCAAGTAGCGAGGGAGGTTGAACATGGTTCATACACAAGGGAATTCATAAGAACAGAGAATACGTACTTATAATAATAGTGTGCGAAAATCCCTGGTTAACCGAGAATATAAATAAGATTAAAAAATTTTAAAATAAAAAAAAATTAAATTCCATATTTATTTCTTCCAAGAATCCAGACACCAGCTCCATCATCAATTCATAATGTGAAGAAATCGTGTACTATAAATTGAGGAAAGCCAACAGCAGTTTATGTTGCTATCGATTATACTTGTATTTGGTAAATTTATTAACTGCATGATGGATCTGTTCTCCCAAATGCTTTCAATGAAGAAATAGGAACTTACTTGATATTTTACTTCCTTTTGAACTCTCGGGGAATGAGATGTCGTTATAGTTATTGAAGAACTATGAAATTCTTCTTGGTGACAGATCGGTTGCCAGCAAAGAGCTGTGAGACACTGTCGTGTTCACCATTCTTTTGTTCTATTAAATCCCACGATTTTATTCCGAAGTTTTTTTTTTTGTCTTGGACGTCAGCAAAAAGTTCCTTACAAACCACTTTTTAGCTGGCCAACGCCATAATAAATTGTTCTAGATGTGCGGAAATCAAGTTTTTCCAACGATCGGTGTACGGTAAAAAACTGGAAAAGAGTAGTGGATATCAAATGCCCAGGATGATGTGCTGCTTGGGAAGTGCTTTCTTGTAGTATTTTAGGTTAAATATTTACAGAAGATATAAAGACGGAGACATAATTGAGTTAAGTTATTGCTCTATAGTAATACAAACTGGCTGGATCTTTGATTGTATTCAGAAAATATTGGCAAAAACACATGAATAACCTATAGAACTGAAATCATGCATGCGGTAGCCTACGCCAGTTCTCACTACCTCAGTAATAAACGATCTGTAGTTGCCACGATGCACATGTGTGGGAACTGATTCTTGATCTTCAATAAAAATGAGATAGCGTAATGAATGTTATTATATTGTCCTTTTTAATTTTAATGTAGCCTTACACATTCATGCACACAGTCAGTCAGACCCGACACGTTAGCAATCAACCTTAGGGAAGTTACGTCGTAAGCCAATACATCCAACAGACTTCTTGGACTAATCGGATGCTCTTACGAATTCCCAGATGCTGAAGCGATGAAGCAGTTATTTGTTGCTGTCGTGCGCCTGAATATAGAGTTTGGGCACGCTGTGTGATCACCGAGATTTGAAAAGGACATAAATTTAATAGAGAATGTTCAAAGACGTGCAACAAGGATAATTCTAGGCTTGAAGGGCAAGTCCTATGAAGAAAGATTAAAGATTATGAAGCTTCCAAGCCTCAGTTATCGACGTTTGCGTGGGGACCTAATTGAAGTATACATGTATACTCATGGTTTATACAAGATCCCCGAAGGATTACTAGAATTGGAAACAAGAACCAACACCAGGGGCCACGGCTCGGACGGCTATAAACTAAAAAAACTGCGCTGAAACTTTTCCACGCGACAACACTTCTTCTCGCTTCGAGTCACTGACATGTGGAACAGCCTCCCTGAAGATATTGTTGACGCTCCGAGTATGAACGCGTTCAAGAACAGACTAGACAAGGCCATGCAGAAGCATATGTTTAGTCTTGAAATGACTCGTATCCTACGGAACAACTGAAATCTTGAAACGATTTTAAATCTACTGTCCATTGAAAAGATTTGATCAAAAGGTCAGTCCAGTCAAGAAAAATCGACATGAATCGGAGACAGGCCTATCAAGGCCTATTCTTCAATGCCGAAGATACTATACTATACTACTACTAAGACTCCTCGAGTCTCGATTCAATAAATCTTCTTCACTATAGACGCAGCGTTATACCGCCACATTAATGCGTTACAAGAACACTTTCACACGCTATTATAGCAATATGGCGTCACTATGTAACGCGCCGTCCTGGTATTTTCTCAACTCTGCATGCTGAAGGAAAACTCAAATCTCAAAAGAAATATAGGTATATGTGAGAATTTTTGCGAACCAGACTCCGGAGGAGACAATGTAGAACAGAAAAATGCCTGGCATATCAAGTCGACTAGAGAGGGATTATTAGGGAAATTCCTGGCATATAAAGTCGACCAGAGAGGGATTGTTAGGGAAATGTCAGGCATATCAAGTCGACCAGAGAGGGATTGTTAGGGAAAGATCTGGCATATCAAGTCGACCAGAGAGGGATTGTTAAGGAAATTCCTGGCATATCAAGTCGACCAGAGAGAGATTGTTACAGAAATGTCTGACGTATAAAGGCGATAATAAACGGGATTGGTAGGAAAATATCTGGCATATATAGTCGACCAGAGCGGGGATTATTAGAGAAATGTCCGACGCATCAAGTCGATTAGAGTGTGATTGTTTTTGCTTTAGCGGCGTCGCTGCCCTCGCGAAAGAGAAGGGGACTTAAGGGTGTAATTTTCGTTCGGGTGCTCAGTCAGTCCAAGTCCAGCTTCGTAGTGGTGCAGTGACGAGGATCTTCTCCTGCATGATTAGAATGGAAATATCGAGCTGAGACTTAGGCTAACGTTTTCGGAGTTATATTATTCTGGTCGTAATACCTTGTTTATGTCATTACCAGTGATATTCATGTTCTGGAATATTTCGCTGCACTGCAGCTGTGCCGAGAAGTAACAATCATTAGTCATACTCCTGGATTCAAGTTTTGAAGTACGAATATTTTATTTAATTTTTCTCAGTTGGAAGACTTTGAATTAATTATTTCAGTTTGCTACAGGAGCGAGTGAACTCATTAAACTTTATTTTTTGTTTGTAATGCAAATATTTGTATCACAGAAGTATATCTTCGATATATTGCTGAAAACATGCTTTTAGTATTAGACCTTAGTTGCTCGTGTGAATATTTCATTTAAAAATTTGTAATAATTTCCTAATAATATTGCTGAAAATTTGTCTTAATTTCTACAAAGATCATTTGTGTTCGCTCACTTAAAAATGGCTGTAATATGAGATGTTACGCTTTATCTCATTGAGATTGCGTTTAAAATTGTTGAATGAGTCGAGCAGTTAACTTTGGTAGAAAAATTTCTGAATAATGTGTTAGGGTGCAGTACGGTGATGACCAAAAAACGCATAAACTTGTATCATATTTTGAGGAACAACACCTATTTAAATATGTGATAGTTTTATGTTAAAAGTTCGTTAAATTAGATAGATTGTGTCCATGACACTGTCAATATAAAAGATAAGTGTTGCGTGATGGACCGTATTTATTTTAAAGCTCATATTCACAAAATTGCCGTGATTCGAATAAATGTGCCACTGTTCGACAAGGAAGCCGTATTTTCTTTATCTGTAATTCTTGTGTAATACTTATATTATAATAATTATAATTCTTATATAATGCTTATATGTATAATACTTATCTGTAATTCTTATATAATGTTCTTATATAATATAATATATTCTTATAATTCTAATTATTTTAGAGCGAGAAAAGAAACCACTGTGTTAGTGGGCTTGATAACTGCAAAGTATTGAAGTTTTTCTTCTATAAAATATTCATGTATTTTTAAATAATGTAATTTAGCAATAAATTACTATGATTCAAGCGTCTTATGAAACTAGTAACTTTAAGTGGTTGCGACAGTCGTGGGGCTTACGGCAGAACATTAAACACTTTCGGCATGGAGGTTGACTTAGGTTGACATATAAATTTGAAGATATATGGTATAAGCAATGGGTGATAGATCTTAGTAGTTCAATTCTCTGTTAAAAAATGAGGCATAGTTTTTAAAATAAGCTAAGGTTAAAGGCTGCTACACCGGCCAAGTGAAAGCACTAGTCTTGTTGCGGTTTTTTACACCGACGCTCTGCACTTCCTGATCTAGAATACAGTGCATGGCGATCAGTACATTCATTTCTCAGCGTTAACAGATAATAAATTGCGAGTATAACAACAATTTGATACAAATTAAAAATCTCTCATATTCTATTTCAGTTAAGATACTTTGTTATCAGGGCTCGCATAATATTTCTACAGATGCCAGCCTATCAAAATGGTCAATAAAATAATAAATGTTGTTTATGGGTAATAAAATTTGGACCCAAAAACTGATTTAATTTATATCTTCTATTCCAATATAATAACAGGAATCTAAAAGTAAAGAAAATGTAATAAAAATTTACCAAGTAGTCGTTGGAAACTTTTTGTAGTCCAACGCCATCATCAGTTTCAAACTTCGCAAATACAAGTAAAATATAAAAAGCGATAAAATTTTGTTGAAATAGATTAAATAGTAAAGAGTAAGAAAGCGGTTCGATTAAAGTAAAAGCCTAACGATTATAATTTTAATTGAAACGAAAACTGTAATCGTTCTAGTATAGTTACATGTACAATGTATAGTTGTTGGGAGAGCACATAAGCATTATTATTACATCAGTTCAATTACAATTATAATTATAATTAATAATTATATTAATTAATTATATTAATTATTTTTAATGTAATTAATTAGTTATATTAATTTTTTTATATTAGTTATTTTTACAACAGATTGGCTGATCGCATGGGCAGAAGTTATCATACTGAAGATTTTCTAGCACACCCACTCTATTATAATGAGTGAAATATTGTATTGAGTGAAATATTGTATTGAGTGAAATATTAATATTGAGTGAAATATTAATATTGAGTGAAATATTAATATTGAGTGAAATATTAATATTGAGTGAAATATTAATATTGAGTGAAATATTAATATTGTATCTCCACGCAGTAATGTGCGATTATCCGGAGCTGGAAAGTGATTTTGATACTTTGAGCTGCACCTCTGGAGCATCAGATGCCAGAATCTTGTTATCACTGTTGATATTAAACCGAAAACTTTGTCTTAGCAAAGCTTATTGATCTTATTCTATAGAAATTTTTAATTTAAAGTTATCACGAAACATCGCACTTTGAGCTCACTATTCAGGTTTTAGGTTCCTGGGAAAAATTGCTATTAATTTTACTTGTATTCATGAAGTTTTAAACTGATGATGGAGTGGACATGTGAAAAGTTTTCAATTAAATTATGGTTATTAATATAGGCATTAATTACTCAATTAACTTAGGATTATATACGACTGAATATAATTTTGTTTATGGCTTATAAATTCTGGCTAATTTTTTATTTGAATTAATCCATTATGCAAATAATAAGTTATGATTGAATCCATTATATTCTAGCAATATTTTCTCTAATTTATTACGTCAGATTTCCTCTTATTGTTAGCTGCACTAATCATCTTTGTCAAAATTATTTATAATAAACGACCATCAAAAACAATTAAGTCGCAACTTAATAATCCATTCTCAGGTCATGTGAATGTTTATGAAGATTGTCGATGACTTAATTGACAAATTGTTTAGATTTTTTCAGTTTCAAACTTTAATCCACTTGTTCCTTGTTCCATGCGAACAGGTAAAGTTATTTTAGAACGTTAATATAAATAATTCCGAGCAACATTAGACTTAAAAAAATATTTCAATATTCATGTTCAATGAATTCTAAGTTTATTTAACAATCCCTGCGCGTTATATTTTTGGTTTTTGATGGTCGTAACAATGAAGCAGAGAAGCGAAGTTCTGGTTCAAAGAAAGCCATCTTGGGCTGACCCAACACACCACATCTTCCACGTCCTTCTCCACGCCCTCACGTGGCTGTACCAGCAGGTGTGAGAACGTCTTTATAAAAAATAAACCTATATCATTTCTGTGTCACAAATATTTATTTTATGCGATTTTTACGAGAAATTTTTATTTCCATATACCAGTAATTGTTGTATTTATGGTATAGGAAGTTATTGTGGCTTTTAACCGAACCTTTCCTTGTTATCTTTTACCGAGCGTTGTCTTTACCGAATGTGTAGAATAACTTTTTGAGCGATCGTATCTCTCTACCAACTTTGAAAACGTCAGCGTCATTCTGATATGAAAGAAAACCTTTACCGGAAACCGTGCCATGCAAATTACTGGTTTTGGGATTGAGATGCTTTTCCACGAAATATAAATGAATATTTCTAAAAATGCATTACATTTATTTATTCATTATATAAAAACATTTTATTATATAAAAAGTTTTTATTATATAAAAACTTATTCATTACAAACTGTCTCGGACTTTTTTTATATCGATTTCCTCAATTTTTATTTCGAATGCTTGTTTTTTGGTATCGATATTATAGAATAGAAGTGTCGGCATTGAAGAAATTGGCCCATTAAATTAAGCAAAATTATTTCTTGTCGATATGTCGTTGCTATACGTCTATCATATGTCGTATATGATATTTTCAAAGTTATTTTAAATCGATGTAATTGAAGCTAATTCACTTGAATTAACAAAATTGTAAGTTTTAAAATAATTTTTTCAAATGCAGGTGTGTGAAATTTTCAGCCTCCGCACTGTGATCAGATTCCTTGGCTGTGATGCTTCGTCCAAAGACAAGGTAATTCCCAGGGACTATTACTAAGCTTGACAAAACCGAAATATTTACGGTAACTCGGGAAGTTATTTGAATAAGGTTAACCAATAAAATTTAAACAATCGTGACGACAAGATAATATTTATAAGATAAGCAGCAATTCAATTGAACATGAGTTATTGTCAAGCTCAGAAGTTGAGAAAATTGGTAGGCGAGAGTAGAAACTGTCCTGATGGACTTGATTAAATTATGGAGCCCTATATGACTTAATTTGATGTGTCATGTGCTTGGTAATTGAGCAATTAATTTTGATAAGTTACCCATAGATTTTTTTATTTCACAAATAGCTGTAGCCATTCCCCCAAGTATATAATGTTTTACCAATTCAATTGAGTCACGAAGCGCTCGGGGCTGCTAATCAATTGACCAGCTGCTTTGCTGTTCAAACAAGCTTTGGACTCATTTACTACAGGTTCACTAATCCCTTTAACTCATCCCTCCAGCATCCCTTACAATAATTCATTTCCAGTACATAAGATGAACAATGCATGCCATTGCACTAACTTACACTAATTCATTGCCAGTACGTAAAATGAACAATGTATGCAATTGCACTAACTTACACTAATTCAATTCCAGTACATAAGATGAACAATGTATGCAATTGGCCAATTGCACTAAATCCAGCTGCTTTATTGTTCGATTAGCAGATGGTGGACAAGCAACCGTTCCTGCCGGACTGTGAGCATTTCACCACCGAGAAGCTCACTCACTCCTTGGAACTTATCAAGGCAAATAAGGTGAGTGTGAATTGCCGAGCAATGAAAAATTTTGAACATTATATCAGTTAGGCCGGTTCAACCAAAAATATATTTTTTCCAGTTTGATATTTCGGAGGCCAGTGAACTTCTTTCGAACATCAACTGGAACAACAACTGTTTGTGAAACAACTTTGATGATGATGATGTTGGGTTTTAATTTAAGATTACTTCTAGAAGGAGTCTAATTTTCTTTCTGAGGAGTCTAAATTTCTTAGTTAACTTGGTTAACTGACCGATCTTTCAGCAACTCTGTTCACATATGTAAAACATTTATACAAAAAAAATCTTGATACATTTTTTGAGAAAATGAACGAAACGTGAAATACATAGAAAACGGAAAAAAGTTATTTTTATACATGAATCTCAATTAACTCTTAGCTTTTCAACAAGAGACATTTCATTTGATTTGTATGGCAAATATCTATAGCGAATCTAGAGTTTTTTTTTCCAATTTCACTTTGATTATTTTGTTCTCTAGAGGATATTTTTTATTTTCCACACTTTTCCCAATTTTCTTTAGTTTTAAAATGAATAACCCAAACAATACACAAATAATAGTCGCTTCTATAGTCGCTAGGTATTTACTTCACGAATCTAATGATACGTCGCCCAATGTTATAGGTTATATTTGAATGGAGAAGATAACTTTTTAATACGGCGTAAAATGGAAATTTCAGGAATTCAGGAGAGGGAAATAACAGAAAAGGATTAAAAAACAAAGGCTATAAAAACTTGCTTGATAAGTAATCTCTGGCCTTTGCATGAATTATTACTCCCATTGAGTGCACTATCATGCGCCGCAGGACTCGTTGTTGACCAGTTTAACGCGAATAATCCTATATAAATACGATATTTTCAAAATAAATTTGTATGGAGTTTGTGAGAAAATGATCATTTTTTACAAGCTACGAATTGTCTCTCGCACAAACTAGAGCATGCGCATATACAAGCAGCTTGCTGCGTTAGACGCGCCTTTTTCACTGCTACAGAAAAAGATTAATAACCCAAAAAGTTAAGTTTTTCAATTTTTGACGTAGAGCCCCCATCGACCATTAAATTGAAGTGTATACAGATAAAAATTATATCGCATAGAATGTAAAAATTCCTATTTAGGCTAAAAATATAGGGAGATTCAAGGCAGTTTTCTTAATTCGGTATACTGTTCATAATTGAAAAGTAACATTTTATGGAACATCGACTTGATCGTGTGACAGTCCACCTCGGCGCATGGCTAGTTTTTTAGCATTATAGGTGAAAGTTATGTATAAGAGGGCCATAAAAACATTATTGTGCAACCTAATTACCCCATCTGACCCGTGCTTGTGTAACCTATAGTCACACAAGCACATAGCCTAACAAAATTTAGAGTCGCCCCAGCTTCTGGTACTCCAAATCAGAAGCTGACTCGTCCGTAGATTTTCACTGGGTAGTCAGGCCCTTGCAGCGCATTGCGAGATGGGTCGAAACCCTCACACTGATCGAGTTTCTTGTGTAGATTTTAGGCCCGTAATTTAAACCCACCGAAGACACTTTTCGTCTCAGCCTATTTATACATGAATACGGAAATCGTTCTACGTCGATTTATCTGTATCTTCAAACTGATAAATATACAGATGAACTGATAATGTTTTGGCGAATGTAAAAAGATGAATATTGTTCTTGAGTTTAAAAAAATTGAATGAAATATCTTTTCAGGATGAACTAAATTTAATTGTAAATTTTAATTCTCTCAAATAGGACAATTCTCATAAATTTCCAAATGATAAAAGAAATGAATTGCAAATAATCGGGTAAAAAATGTATCTAATACCAAAAATAATTCCCTATAAGTTTCGAAAATATGTCCGCATGATAGTCATGTCTAATGGAAAAGATCCAGTGTCGTCAAGCGATCACATATCGATTCCAGCCCGCCACCGGGACTCAGGCAAGAATAAAATACATTAAATACATAGCTCGATTTTAAATTAATCTTTTTTTAGCGCATTTTCTCATTTATTGAAAAAAGGCGCCGTCTGTCTGTCCATCCGTCCGTCTGTCTGTTCGTCCGTGACTTCAAGTTTTCGTCGACGAGAAAATGCGCTCTCTGTCACTCAATGCAGTGAGCACTAAGTTATATTTTTTATATATATTGTCAATGATAAATAATGATTGAACTTTTTGAACAATTTAGTCATTATGCACTTAATTCTGGTTAGTATCTCATACACACTGTGATTATTTTACTGAGAATTGAAACATGCCTTTCCAAAGTCAACTCTTCAAACGAAGAGTTTAAAAATATGGTAAGTAAATGGAAGAGATACAATGCCGTGTGTCAACGCTCCTGCATTAGCCATATATGGGATGCGGTGATGCAAGCAATGTAGCCACCTCCAGCAGCATCGCTCCGACATATTAAGGCATCACATCAAACTGAAGATGATTCATTTAGCACGAATCGCCTGAGCAAAGATTTAATAATATAACTCAGTACTCACTGCAGTGAATGACAGAGAGCGCATTTTCTCGTCGACGAAAACTTGAGATCACGGACGGACAGACAGACAGACAGACAGACAGACATGGCGAGCACAATAGTGCATTTTTCCCATAAATGAGAAAATGCGCTAAAAATGGCCTATTTTAATAGCGCCCTACATATAATAAAAATAAAAATAAATATAACATATAAAAATATAACATATATATAAATATAACATATAAAAAAATATATAACTCAGTAGTACTCACTGCAGTGAGTGACATTTTCTCGTCGACGAAAACGTGAAGTCACGGACGGACAGACAGATGGACAGACGGACATGACGAGCACAATAGTGCATAAAACGTGAAGTCACGGACGGACAGACAGACGGACAGACGGACATGGCGAGCACAATAGTACATTTTTTCAGTAAATGAAAAAATGCGCTAAAAGGGCCCTTTTCATTGGCGCACTATATGAAAGCAACCAAACGTGCAAAATACCTGCATATTCTTCTCCAAATGCTATACACATCAAAGCCATTTCGTCGTTTAATAACTAGTCAGTTCTGGTAAGGTCCCATTCCAAAAATCCTCCAACATATAAGTGGATAAAAGTAAAAAAAAATGAATTGAACTAAATAAATTCAATAATTTCCTAAAGCGGGATGATGAATTTTATGCTCACAGATTGTCCCTATATATAATATATTAATTTATATACCGCAAGTTCACAAGGAATTTAAAAGTAAAAAAACAATCAAATTCACAAAATCGACATTGAAATCGTTTCAGTTTCCATCTCCATCATCAGTTCGACAATCTAAAAATGAATAAAATCATTTTATAAGTCAAAATTCCAAGACAGACATAAAACCTAATCAAGACCTAACATTATAATATATTAAATTCCATCAGGTGGTAGCTGACCAGATCTGCGACTTTCTTCGCCACCGGCAATCGGTTCAACAATCTAAAAATTATTAAAATAATTTTATAAGTCAAAATTCTAAGACAGACAGAAAACCTAATCAAGACCTAACATTATACTATATTAAATTCCATCAGGTGGTAGCTGACCAGATCTGCGACTTCCTTCGCCACCGGCGAGGCTACGAGAAATACCTGTCGTTTGGCTGCAGCGGAGGAGGTTACCTCTCATGCGAGGTCTCACTCAAGGTAACACGAGTAATTAGTGCAGCAATATTTTAATTATTAGTTAGTAATGAATAGCCGAATTAATTAATGATTTGGAGTTATAACGGAGCTGATATGAGGTATTTTAATTAGTGTTCCCTAAAGTTATTCAATTGATAGCAAGTGAAGAGATGATTTTGACTATAAACGAAATAGGGGATAATGTAGACTTTTGTTAAAAGTATATTGTAAATAAAATTATTTGTAATGCAAGAGTACAAAATTAATATGCTAAGAAAATACAGATAATATTGTATCTAGAATCTTTGCAATCTCAGTCTGTTATGTCACAGACATCATTTGGAATAATGGTCTCGAAATATGGGATCTGATTCACTCGGAATGCTTGTGGGCGCACGCTCCAGATGATATTCTATCATTAAGGGCTCACTATCACCGTAACAAGCTGTGGGTGCACGTAACCAGATAATTTTATATCATCGAGGGTTCACTATCACCGTAACAAGCTGTGGGCGCCAGCAGATGATATTCTATCATTAAGGTCTCACTATCACCGTAACAAGCTGTGGGCGCCTCCAGATGATATTCTACCATTAAGGTCTCACTATCACCGTAACAAGCTGTGGGCGTTAAAAACTAAAAACTAAAAACTAAAAACTAAAAACTAAAAACTAAAAACTAAAAACTAAAAACTAAAAACTAAAAACTAAAAACTAAAAACTAACGCCTACAGGTTCACGAAGACCCAGCGCTGCTAGCGTTAGCGTACGGCAGGATGGCGGGGCATGTGTACGAGAGTCCAGTAGATCTCGACCAGATCAGCATCGCATACGTGCATACCATCACCAGCAACCCCAGACTCTTTAGAGTCACCAAGCTCTTCGTTGAGTGAGTGATGAACCCACGTCATGATTTCGTTACCTGTTCATACTATCCAAATAATCATCGGTTAAAAGAGTGGCCCAGTGGTTACAGCTCATGCAGAGTACCAAGATTGGCGCAGAGAAGTGCGGGTTCGATCCCAGCTCTGTGCGCCAGTTTCTGGTCAGAATCGGCAAGGAGGCCGGGCGGTTAAGCAAAGAAAATTTGAAGCAGTTAGATGCGAGTCCGAGCCCGCCACAAGCTGTGGATGTTCTGCAATGTTGAGAATCGGCGACAGACCTACGGCCTAATAAACGCTGAAACTGCTATATTATATATATATTTATTATGAAAAAATAAATTGATTAATCATGTTCGATTGTTTTAATTCGTTTACTCTTACTTTAATTCGCCCACTTACTGAGAAATTCTCTTTTCTTAAGCCATTTAGATTTATCGAAAAGCTTTATTAAGATAAATCATCTATTTAAGTTATTATCTATTTTATTGCTTAGTTTCCAAGTGATGATGGCTGTTAACTTGCCCGATAAAGGGCATAGGTGTAAACAGGCTCTAATACATGAAATTAAATTTATATATGAGTTAGGTTTGAATGCTTCTTCATAGCACATTTGGTTCAGGTGCGTCACCAATAACCTAAGTAAATGAGATCAAAATTTAGTTTTTCTCTTCAGCATAAGCTGAATTTTTTTACATTTTATCATGCGAGCCGTTTTACTTATTCATGGTCCGTCAGCTGCTTCAACTTTTGCATGCGAACGGTGAGCACTTCATGCGTTCAGCTAACTTGTATATTTCCTTCGTAAAACTATTTCACTTTTTCATGCGTACGACTGCCTCCCTAATTTCGTCCGTACAGAGGTATGAATTAATCATATTTCGCGAATTTTTCATGCGTTCAGGTCTCACATTTTCACGCTGAATTTCATACGTACCACTGAATTTCTCCTCAATGCGCATAGCAACTAACTTTTCCATGCACACAGCTGGCGTACTTTTCAATACGCATAGCAGGCTTATTAGCGCTTTTTCTCATTTATAGAAAAAATGCACTATTGTGCTCGCCATGTCCGTCTGTCTGTCCGTCCGTCCGTGACCTCAAGTTTTCGTCGACGAGAAAATGCGCTCTCTGTCACTCACTGCAGTGAGTACTGAGTTATATTTTTTCCATGCGTACAGCTGGTTCATGCGTGTGTGCTACGACTCGATGACTCGCCACTACGTGGCCGCAGCGCAGCGCATGTACAACTGCCCGGTGGCCGCGGACGCTCTCTTCCTCTTCTCAGACAGCGACCCCATGAGCCCGCACTCGGCCTACGAGTCCATCGCCGACAAGTGGAGGGCAAAAGGGCGGAGGGTGAGTGCTATACTAATATTAAATATCCGGGGTTATATATTGCAGTTATGGAGTCGATGAGAGGCAAGAATTCACTATTACTTTTCGCCTTTGAGAGCACAACAGTCACGTATGTGCAAAAAGTGAGAGCGAAGTTTAGTTGTAACCTTACAATATTGTCATTCTGCACAATACTCGTGATGCTCAGTGTGTCCACATTCAGACAATTGCAATCATATTTAGATCAAGTTTAAGGTTTTCAAACCTTCTCAATCGAGATAATTGATGCTTACTATAATTGCAGGTTAGGTTCAGCATCTTCGAGCACTCCAACACAGGCCACTGTCGCAACTTTGCTGTCCACCCTGAAAAATACAGACATGAAGTCTACAAGTTCCTTGTCGACGTCGGATTTGTCGATCAGAATACTGTCGATAAGGTTTTATCGTCCAATTGAAATGACACGATTTTAATGTGCAATAAAAGCGCATCAAAAAGAACTAAATTAACTCGGAATAAGCGTTTTATCAGAAATTTACTCGAAAGTGCTACCAGAAAGCCGACGTTTTCTGGTAAAGCACCGACGCCTCGAGAAGCCTGCACTTTTTTAGTCGGGGATCTCATTCGTTAGGACGTGGAGCTCGTGTTGAGTTCAGAATTTCTGAATGTGGTAAATACGTGTATTGGTGGACCAATGGGGACTTGATAATGAACATGTGTCGTCTGCGCGAGAATGTCTGTGGTTGATTTTGTTCCCCTGATTTGGTCTCGTTTTATTAATTTTAAAACCAGAAGGTCAAGATGGCCGCTTCCCCAAGCTAGCATCACAGTACAGAATGTCCGATATTTTATCTCCTTTAATTGGGATATGGTAATTATTCAATTTAATTGATTAACTTGAGTGAATGAGCTTAACTTAGGTACAGTAATAATTTTGTAAGCTATTTTAATTTGTTTTTGACTCGCTCTGGGGGCTAGTCCAGTTTTCTACTGAGGTCTCGCTTTAGATCTGTTGTGGTTAGTTGTTCGAATTGTGACCCGTTTTTAGCTGAGTGTTCAGGCTGATCTATGTCAACTTGTCAAGTATGCCTGGTCATATGAGAATATCAACAAGATGAGAATGAATGGGATTGACAGTGAAGACGCTGATGGGCTATGATGTGACATGGTGTAGGTCCAATTTTAAATCCTTGTTTCAATAGTTCTCGCAGGAATTGTAATAGAAAAAAAATTCGACGTAAAAAACCGATTCCAACAAGTCTATCTTCATCTTTTTAGAGACTTGAAGCTCGTAAGTTGATGAGAGTTTGTGCCAATACTTACCTAGTGTCATTTTAATTACTATGAACATTCTACTAAGTAAATAGAGTTCCGAGAATTGTAATCTATAATTAAATAGCTTATGTAGAATTCTCAAGAAGTCACCTTGTTTTTGTTATTTACTACTTTTGCATCTGTTTTAATTGCTTGTGATCACCTAGACTTAATTCCATCGACGGTTCATGATAACTTGTTTCTATTCCATGCCCTCGTGCTGATTTGTAATGTTTGACTTAGGCCGACGAGGTTAATTGGATTATGTAGAGTAAAATATTGACCTCGTACCCTGTACGTTCAGTTTACTTGAGTTTGACCAGTTCACTTCTGGAATTGCGTTTACTAAATTAATTATTATGCAACGACCAAATGTCTTGCATGTTCCTCACTCTGATGAAAAATGTTGTCGGTGTAGGCTTTGTCTCAGAAATACAAGGAATAAGGGATCAAATCTTGAGCTTCAATCCCGCCTTATACGATTTGTTCGTAAAACGGTTCCCGAACTAATTAGATTACTTTAGGAGACTTCATATAGGCCCTCTCCATTCAAATGTGCCGCATTTAATACAAATGCAGTGGTGCGTTTGAAAGGCAGGATTGTTGCGCACCAAGAACATCATTATTTCTGTATGAGAAAGAAATTTGACGAATATATATGGAAATACTTTCCTTTACTGTTTTTTACAGTTTTATAAATAAAAGTTTCCAAAGGAGGACGGGAGACTAGATATTTTCTATGCTTTGATTCTAGAAACATTCTCGTGATTAGAAAATCGTGCAGGATGGGAAAAGAAAGTGGACTAATATCCTATATTAATGTATTGTTCAAGTTTAGAAGAGATAATAATTGAGGGAACGGCATTTCTCTCATTTTCAATGCGTGAACCAATTTGGCAGAGAAATTTTGGAAAAGCCTAAATCTATTTTCAGCGTTTGCTCTTCATTATTAGGAGTGTAATATATAACGACGAAACAATTTGAATTTATTCAAACTTTATTTTTGAATATTCACGTTATCACAAATTATTCAACAATCCCCGATAAAATAACCAAATTCTGCTCATTAAAATACTATATAAGGCTATAAGGCTCATTAAATAACTAAAATTTGATAAAGTAACTTAAACATTCGCATTAAAACAATTCAAACATTCACAGTTCAATAACTCAAACGTGAGTATTAAAAAAGTCGAGAATACAAATAAATAATAATAAAAATTCAAGAATAACACAAACACGCGCATTATAAAAACTCAAGAATACTCTTTAGAATAACACAAATATACACATTAGAAAAACTCCTGAATACTCATAGAATAACACAAACATACTAAAAAAACTTTGGTCCTTTCTTTAAGCTGAAAATTTTCTGGCATGAGGAAAAACTTTTACAAAGTCTGAGGGTCTGAGTTTTCTGAGCATAAATTAACCAAGAAAATCAGCCATTAGCCTCTAAGTTAAAATTTCGAGCATTCTAGCAATCTAACATATCGAATCATTAAAATTTTAACTACATAAAATATATCACTAGACGTAGCGCATTAGTAATATTCCCTGGCGCGTTGTACAGGAAGTGTGTTAGTTCGATGTCCTTTGATGTTGAGAAATATAGTTCAATGGCTTTGAGGTTATTGGCGTTGAGGTCATTCGAAACTACAATAATATTTGTTAGTGTAAATTACTTATCAACGATCAAAAATCCGCGGTACAAAAATCAACCAAGTATAAGATTTGTAACAGATAGAAGGAGCGTGCATCGGAGTAAGTAAGTCACGCCATCAGACTGAACATCAAACGCTTACCAAAAAAAAAGTTGAAATTTTAATATACGTATGACGCCGTATCACGAGAAACGGTTCCTAAGAAATGGAAATATTTCTGTAGCAGATAACGTTGCTGTTTGTACATTTTGCGTATAAGTTATTTATATGAATATTGAAAGTCACTGTCGTAAATATGGGACCAAGTCTTCTGATATTTGCTCAGAAGCGAACGCTACGCACAAACGAGGTGCTCGCGGACGCATAGGGAAGCCCCATCGTTAAAGCCTGCGGCAGGATACCATGACTTGTATCTTGGGTAGTCGGCTCTGTAATGCAGGCATGGTTCAGAACAAGTAGAATTATTTGACAACAAGCTTGCTATTTTTATAATTTGAAAGAAAAAATAGCGGAAACCTCAAACGTGTCTTTCCTGAAACGAAACGTATTTTTTTAAATCGAAAGCTATGCAGTTTCAGTAATAATTTTTGCATTTTTTCACCCCTTATTGATATCACACCTCAAATTTGCATTAAACATAGGCGAAGTCGATTTTTGATAACGAGGTAGAAATAAAATTCAATACAAGTTCAGGAATATGAACAATTAATAAAGACCATAATTTTTGGGCTTGTATATTTTTTATTACTGATTAGAGGATAATGCCGAAAACAACGCTAAAGTATAAAGTTTCTCGCGCAGATGGAGGAAAATTGCACAGGACAATGCGAGCGAGCGAATGGATGGAATAATGCCCAAGGTTTACTGGCCAGCTAAGCGGCAATTATATATATAACAGCGGCAACCTCAGTGAGGCAGCAACCTTCGTCAAGAGTGTATCGTTTGTATGGAGCTGGTATATATACGCAGAGATGCTCGAGGTGCTACTTCAAGCATTCATTTACTGAGAAATTAAAAGGATAGAAACAGTCCTAGAAATAACCTGAAATTTTCCATTAAATTGTAATTATGTTCCTTTTTATCTAATGAGAATTAAATTTTTATGGTAATCATTATAATTACTTAGAATACGTTGTAAAAATTGTGGTATAATAATAATGTACATATTGTGAATGAATGCTTTCAGAATAAATTTAAAGGTTAACATTTTTACCGGGAGAAAATTTGTTATTAAATAATTTTAAAAGTATTTTATTTCGGGTAATACAAGCTTTTTATTGCGTGCAACAAATAATATCAAACAAACTGTTCTCATTAATCGGGGCTTTATTGCTGTAATGTGGGACGCTGTAACTTTGACAAGTTGAATAGTTTTAAAGTTAGGATTCCCCACCAGCGATGGTTTTAATCGAGTTTGCAAATTAAAATAAGGTATTTTTTGCGGGCTAAATTACACCATCTTTGTTCAAAACCTAAAGTTCCGGCCTCGAGGATAACAACAGTCGTACTGGTCGCATCGTCGGAAGCTTCCCTCGTTCTCAGCCCGTTGCAGGAATTTTCAGATTTCTTCCGTTTATGGTATAAAATTTGCGTAAATTCATTTATTGACATTCATCTTATTATTGTTGTACGATGAGTGAATTTATAATGATGCGTTATTTGAAAAATTATCTCTGCAGTGGCAGCTGATTGTCAGTTTGGCTTAGGCGCTGGAATATTCTGAATTAAAGATGTAGGTAATTGAAAGATGAGCTTCGATTATGCCATACTAATTAGTGCATTTTCTCATTTATAGAATAAAGGCGCTATTGTGCTCGTCATGTCCGTCTGTCCGTCCGTCTGTCTGTCCGTCCGCGACTTCACGTTTTCGTCGACGAGAAAATGCGGTCTCTGTCATTCACTGCACTGAGCACTGAGTTATATTGTTTATTAAACCATGTCACAATGAACATATGATACTACTCATGCACTCACAATGATCTGGGGCCAAAGCAGCTGAATTGCAGGAAAATTTTGCGGACTTTATGTTGACATAACGTACAAAATAGATACTGATGTCTGTTCTTAAATGTAGGATACTAGCAGGTTTACCTGTCTTTCCCATCATACAACATATGCTTGGCAATGAGAAGGAACTGAAATCAGGAGTTTGAACCAGCGTGTGAGCTCACTAAGAGCTTTGGCCCACTGCTCACTGCGAACGAAACAATAACTAAAGATTATGACAGAAAATCTGTTGTTCAACCTTCAGTCATTCTTCTGCGGATATTCATTGTGCATGGTATGATAGGCATAGTCTCCAGCCATTATCAATGCGACACGTCCACTGCCTTACTTATTTCCATGAAAGTCGTGTTCAGTTTGATCCAGAGCTTCGTAGGCCAAAATTTGCTGTATTTTGCGTTTCTGCGTGAGAAAATTTTACATTCAGAAGCATCGTGATCAAAGCTGAACCTACTCTAGTCAAAGTTCAACTGAACCTAACCTAAAAGCCACATGAGCACTGAACTGCCGGTGTGACCACAAACAACGTGCAATGCTGCCTCAATGTCCTGCAGCCTAATAAGTAATACATACAACAGTCAAAAAAGCATGGTAATCAGACACAATTATAATCAAAACAGTCTTTGATAATCGTATAAACTTCATTGTCAACAGCTAGGTTGAGTACGAACGTCTATCTAGCGGTTCCGAAATTTTTGCTGGCTGGTGACCCCTTGGCTTTCCAGTGAATTCCTAGCTCCCTCCCACAGACACATATGGAAACGAACACCTCTTTCTTGATATTTGGTATGCTGCAATCCGAAAAGAAAGATTTTAAACAAAAATATGTATTTCACAAATAAACCCAATTAGGTAATCCAATGTTTTTTTAGCAGTTTTAACAGTTTCAGCACTATAGAAACCCAGGAGAGGTTAAAAAACCCAGATCTGGGTAGAAAACCCCATCGCTGGGAGCCGAGTGCTGCACGTGTTGTGTACAAATCGTCAAACAAACGTTCGAACTTCTGACTTCGACTGTGGGCTGCCGCCCCCCTATTGCACCCTTCTTCCTCATCGCCCCCCCCCCCTAGATCTTTCCACCGCCCCCAGGAATCATGTTCGTCTGGGAGCATAAACTATTACTATACGATGCCAGCGTGATGGTCACAACATTGTCTGGATTTGGGTGAAAGCTTCTTCCTGACCATCAACCAAACTGGGATAGTTCTTTGAAAAACACAACCATATCAACCAGTATCTTCGGCGCATACTTCCTCCAGTTAGAGTATTACACGAATTTGGTTCGTAAGACTGTCTGTTATTAGCTACCAGGCTACAGGCTCCATATCCCGAGTCTTATCTCGATGACTATAACTTCAAAGTTATCCTTTCTTTACAAGCGTGCAGATCAGCTTCAGAGCGTGGTGATTTACAGTCTTTAGATAATCAAACGATGTCATTCTTGCTGCTGAGGGAAAAATTGCTTGCAGTAAATAGTATCCTTGGAAATATGGGTTCTATGTGTCTACTCAAAATGCATGGTTTTTCCTGAAATGTTTTAGAGGTATGTTTCATGGACGTTCTTCTAGAGACATCCTGTGTGTAGAGCCTTGGATATCACAGTTTAAAAGCGTCTTTGCTGAGTCATCTTGTTGGTGAAGCCTAAAGATTTCTTTCAATGTTATTTATGTCATTGAGATGCGAACCTAGTTGCGCAGCAAATCCTTCCTAATCAGTAGACTTTCTGTCATTCATTCTGCGAGTGCCGAGTTCACAGTTAGATGAACGTACCAACCTTTTGTCGGACAATGAGGGATATTGGGGATAGATATCGCATTATCGATTGTCCGAGTCATTGTTCCCGGCAGATTTCTTTGCACATTGTGCGGCATTTGAGAGCAATGAACAGGTTCGACCTGTTCGTTCGATTCACATTTGACAAGACGCCCTTAAGCATGATCTTGCAAATGCCCAAAGTTCTTTGTACGTGATACTGAGAGCCAAGATGATAACCTGGCCATCATTGTTACGTTGACAGTATGAGAAGCTGGAAGTGACATGTTTCTTTTCTTCTGAATGAGAGGGATGAATATATAGGTGGGCAACTCTGTTTCGACCTGGACTAGGCCACAGTTTTAGAGTTCAACCGAATACTAACCAAAATAATTTCCCAACAGCAAGAGGTCATGTGAAAGGTTCATCTTCAGCCAATTTCGATAAGAGTAAAATGCCATCCGTGAAACTTCTTTCAAGGGGTCCCATTCCCACTGCTTAGATCAGTTTGGAAATTTGGATCAGGTTCTATAAGTTTTTCTCAAATTTTTAGATTGGATTAGATCAGGTTATGCTTTTAAGGCTGAATTATAAACGAATATCAAAGTGCATTGTATTGACCGTGATTGCCAGAAACGTGTGCATGCAATCGATTGTCCACCTTCTTTGGCACGATTATTGAATTACTCGACCATGACTTCAGCAACTTTACTAATGGTTTGTGCCTTGAATCGCCACTAATCTTTATTCCTGTTATTTTTTTAGGCGTATAAACTTTGAAATCCTCCAATGACATCTACCCCAAAGAACTCATAGATCTCTTTATAAATGAATTTTATTGAATCATCAGCTGCAGTATGGTGTAATGCATAACCGAGTTACCGGAGCTTTGGTCTGAAGTTGTTCAACATCTAGGTTCTAACACTTAAAATGTTAAAGGTTTTTAATTTGTGCAATGGAAGCTGTTATGCACGTTCAAGGCCAACTCGACATCGAGTTTTGGTTGGGGGCAAAAAACCTCCTTCACTTAAATGCATTTGGTACGCTCACTCTGCCCGCGTATCCTGCCTCACTTACCCTGCCTCCCGTACCCTGCCCTAATCAGTAATTAAGTTTTATTTCGCTCCAGCTCCACCTACACCACGTGCAAGAACTCGCCTGTGTGAAGGCTGGCGTGCTGCAAAAATTCACTGCACGAGTGCACGGTACAAGATAATTCCTGCACATAAATCATTGCGCACGGCCGCCCCCTGTTGCTTTTATCACGACAAATTACACAGATTAATTTTCTTAGAATAAATTAGCTGGACAAAACTAAAAAAATATATAACTCAGTACTCACTGCAGTGAGTGACAGAGAGCGCATTTTCTCGTCGACGAAAACTTGAGGTCACGGACAGACGGACGGACAGACGGACAGATTGACAGACAGACGGACATGGCGAGCACAATAGTGCATTTTTTCCATAAATGAGAAATGCGCTAACAAAACATGGGTAAAGATATAAAGTAATGAAAGAATAAAAAAGGTCGCTCAATGCTCCATTGTTCAGCTCATGATCAGCGAAGATAAAATTGAACCAGAAACATTTTATTAAAATTGTTAATTGGTTTGTGTGTTAACTGAACTATAACTGGTCGTCCACTACTCGAAGGTGGATATGTCTTCGGGTGAAAAAGTTATGTTCTTTGCCCACCTTATAATAGAAGTACAATTATGAACGAATTAAATGATTAATGTTAGCATGATGTGCACTAAAACATTTCGATGCAATGTATCAAGCAGCTCGTGTGACAGCTGCTCACCTCAAGCAATATATATAGGAGGAAAAGATCACTCGCAGCAAGCAAAAGTCCCCAGTAGGAAGACAGAAAAAGCACCGCAGCTGGGTGGCTGGGTCTGGAATAACAGAGATAAACAATTTCCTGGTATAGGGGAAAATTTTGAATGCTGCTAATATATAAAATGTGTGAAGCTACACAGTGGTTACAGCAGGGTGGCCCAGTGGTTACAGTTCAGAGTACCAGGATTGGAGCAGAGAGGCGCGGGTTCGATCCCAGCTCTGTGCGCCAGTTTCTGGTCAGAATCGGCATGGAGGTCGGGCGGTTAAGCAAAGAATTGTATAGCAGTGAGTTGCGCGTTCGAGACCGCAAAATGCTGTGAATGTTCGGCGATGTTAAGAATCGGCGACAGGCCTACGGCCTACTAAACGCTGAAACCATTATATTTTATTTATTTTATTATAATTAAAATTGATAACAATTCGGTGTTGCGTCCTTACGTTAGAACAGAAAAATGCTTGAGCACACATTCGAAGTGCGTAATATTTGTACCTACAAATATCATTGGATGATTTAGCCTGGGTTAAAAAAATTGAATTATACCATATGTATTCCGGTCCATTATGGACACTCTTTGAATGTAGATTTAATTACTCACAATATTTAAAATAAAATGTATAAAAAAAAATTTTAAAGACCACGTTTTTCATGTGGACTAAAAAGTAGAAAATAATTTTTCGGCAGCTACTGATCTCTGTTTGCTTTCATTCTCTTGGTCTTTTGTATTTCAGTTAAAATATTTTACAACATCTAAAACGAAAAACGTGGGGCGCATATGTATTTAATTGTTTGGTGATTACTTGATATGATGAATATGATGGTTCATTGAACATTTGATAAGTGTATTGCTGATATAATTAGAAATAGTGGTTGAATTCAAAATTGAAATTAAGGCATGTCTAAATGAAGATGCGCCCCAAGTTTTTCGTTTTAGATGTTGTAAATATTTTAACTGAAATACAAAAGACCAAGAGAATGAAAGCAAACAGAGATCAGTAGCTGCCGAAAAATTATTTTCTACTTTTTAGTCCATATGAAAAACGTGGTATTTAAAAATTTTTTTTAGACATTTTGTTTTATACTTTTTAGTTTTATGTTATTTTGTATGCTTGTGCTGATCAAATCTTGCAATCGAAATTTCAATTTCCTTTTTATAAAGAATAAGAACAACACAACTTTTCTAAGTACTTATAAATTTAGCTTATGTTTTATTTATTTCAACGGTTCAAAAAAAAAAAAATTTATAAAGTCCATACAGTATAGTCGTTTCACTCCACTACCACTACACTTTGATACAGTTGTTTTGATAGCGGAAGCGTATAGTCATGTCACTCCACTTCGCTACGTTTGTTAGTTCTGAAAATCGCCGCTTTAGGGGGAATGGCGCTGCGATCGATTACAGGAACCACTTCGAAAATTAATTTGTTTATAATAGTGATAAATACGCCTGGAAACGTGCAACAAATTATTGATTATTGTATTGTCATCGGGAGCTGAGCTTCCCTAAAAGTTTCTGAGCGCTAGCTAGCGGGAAAGTTGGAAAAAATATCGATTGCAAGATTTGATCATCACAAACAGACAGACAGACGGACACGAAAGCGAGCTAAGAAAAACGTGGTAAAAAGTATATCTTTCACGAACTTTACAAACAGAGTCTGAACTTTGGTCAATATGAGCAACAGTGGAACAAAAAACTTTTAATTAAGAAACTTTTCCTGCAATTCTACGATAGTTAATGCCTGTAGCTTTTCACAGATTTAATAGGTAACGGGATTAATTGACATTGAATAGCATTTATTCATCAAACATGAAAGCAATTATCGCTCAAGACGGCAGCGTGGGAGTGGCAAAGAGAGCGCGGAATGGCAACACTACGCCACCGAAACGATGGCATCAAATGTGGCATCCTATGGCATGGCTACCAACGCAGGTGCGTTGTTTTCGTGGCAGAAATTTATGTTAGTAATAGACTATAAAAGCAATAATTATTTGCATACATATTAAAATTCAATGAAAATTTATAAGGTGAAGTCTAACGACCTAAGCTTCCACTTGAATTTTAATGCGCGTGTTAATGTAGAATTTAGATTATGAATTATTTCTATATTTACAATGTAAGAAAACAACGTCATTACTACTTAACCATTTCAGATTTTCCTTATTATAAAGTCTCCCTTGGCACGAGAATTGCAGTCCGGCGATCGAATAAAAATGTGACAAATTTTTTTGGTACTCGGCTGATCTTTTTTGGGACCCAGTGTATACTTCACGTTTTTGTGTTGCAATGAATATTTATTTCAACAGATTTCACATAAATTTACCCTGAAAACAAGGGTATTCGTAACTTCAAAATTCTTTTCAACCAAAGTACTAATAATGTGGAATTGAAAACTCAATTGAAACGAATTAAATTTCCAGATGTAAAGCTTACACTTTCTTCGTTGAATGAAAATTTGATTGGTATTGCCAATAATTGATAATTGTTTTGAATTCATTTCTTGACTATTATGTATACTTACGAATTCCCTTCAGCAGTTGCAGGCATTATTGGGGAACCGCACGGCAGCGCACCTAAGAAGGAGCCAAACGTACGCTGCCACTCAGAAGGTCTGTACTTTTCATGTATGAAGCCTTTCATTCATTATTATTATTGTTGTTATTATTATTTTTATATTTATTATTATTATTATTATATTAGATGGCATTTAGTCAGCAATTTGCAGCGAGATGATCAACGTTGTCAATATTTTCTTCAATCACTAATGGTCTGTATTATATTGCGATTCATCTGATTTTTTATGTACATCCGATAGACGATGTGTTATAGATTTGATATACAGCCAGTCAGCCACAATGGCCGTACAAATTTTCAAGACAATAATTTTATCTGTGGGCAGAGCATAGAGAACCTGGACCGCTCTTCAACTGACTACAATAAGAAAACAAAATGCAAGAAGACAAAAAATAACAAGAACAACAATGAAAAAAATAAGATCAACGTAACATATTCATCAGAAAGAATCAGTTCAGAGCTAACGCTCTACCGGCCGTTGGAGGTGAGGTGAAAGATTATAATAATTGAAAATTTCATGATAAACTGAGAAACATTACTATAATCTACGATAAATTTATACTAGTTAATTATCGCACGATAAATTGATACTTGATAGGTACTTATTACACGATAAATTTAGATATGTTACTTATTACTCGCTAAATTAAATTTTGTTACTTGTAACACGATAAATTCAGATTTGTTATTTATTACGCGATAAATTCAGATTTATCACTGAATACAAAATAAATTCAGAATTGTTACTTATTACACTATGAACTGAGATCGTATGTGAACATCGGTCGATGAAGAACTTTGAAATTGGAGACTATAGAGACTACAATAAGTATGAAAAGCGATCTAGATCAGGAATTTATGAAACGTACTTGCTTTGCGAGCAACGTTTACCGTCACATGGATAAATAATAACACAAGTTGAATTATTTGATTAAAACTAAAGCATTTCTTGCAAGTCAACCTGCATTTCGGAAAAGCAGTCTTTCAATGAAATAAAAAATAGCATAACATGTTTTAAGTTGTAGCGCTAATTGTGATGGAAAGTGGATTGGAATTTCTGAACCTGCTGGCATGCAGCGGCCAGTGGCGGTACACTGTTTCCTTGCTACCTGCTCTTCTCCGAAGACGTGCGAATAATTGAAGTATTAGTGATCATTAACCCTGCCAAGCAACGCATTCAAAGTATTCCAGTGATAAGATAAACATGTGAAACATAGAATATTATGATTGGCTTGCGCCTAAATTAATACACTGCAAAGGATCACTGATACTAGAGCGCACTTTTCGGCCCGCTATTATAATGTTACATGTACTTTACAACATTTTTTCTGGTATAAAATTTTTTGGCTTCGGTACATGAAGTGTCTATGAAATTTCATGAAAAAATTCCCTAAATTCTAAAGTATTTTCAATTTATATTCAAGTTGACGGTCACAAAAAATCGATCGAAGAAAGAGTTAAAACTATCCAATAATTATAATCAAACAGTGTGCATGAAGACCCCATATTCTTTGTTATTATGGTATAAAAATTTAATTATAATTGTATTAATAAGACGGTATTAAATGAACGAACTACGAACTTCTAATTGATATTTCTACTCAAACAACTTGAGCAGAATGAGCCCAATGAGCCGCGACGCCTGGTGCTGTTCTTCGCATGGCTCACGGCCCGTGGTCGCCACATCAGCAAGTTCGTGACGCTGATGACGGCCGCTGCCACTGACGTGCTGGTCGTGAGACTAGTACCTGTCAAGCTTCTGCATCCTGAAACTGGTACCCAGGTACTCACCTCCTCACAAACTACCGGCCCAGGAGTAGACATGTGAACACTGAGGGCACAGAGGTTGAGTCAAAATTGTAGAAAATTGCGACTCATTTATAATTTTTTTACTTTTTTATGGTCCACGAAGTTCTAAGACCTAAAAAATGATATGAGGGTTTCTTTAGAAATAAAGGTAATAATAATTGAGATAATGTCCAAAATAGGACTAATAATGATTAGTTATATTAATATAAATCATAGTAACAATACATTTATAAAAAATAATAATGTAACGATAATATTTGTAATAGAATGAGGGTGTGTCTGTGGAATCTCTTCTGATTCAAGCCTAAAATATTTTCCTTTGTCTTGGCAGGCGTCGGCTGAGCGCGTCTGCACGTACCTCAGGAACAATCAAAACTACGACAAATTCCTCGTGTTTGCCTGCAGTGGCGGCGCCTACATGTTCTGCGAGGTCGCCATGAAGGTCTGGAGCCTGGTGTTGATGCGAACTATTGATACTTCCTCTGTACATATACTATGGATACTTTCTCTATATATACTATGAATACTTCCTTTGTCCGTATGCTATGGATACTTCCTCTGTATGTATACTATGAATACTTCCTTTGTCCGTATACTATGGATACTCGCTCTGTTTTAAAACTCATTACATTCGTTTTCAAACTCCTTCGCCCATGTACCATGGATACTTCCTTTACTCACATACTATGGATACTTCTTTTGTCCATAATCGTCGATACTTCTTTTGTCCATGTAGATACTTCCGTTGACGGTGTACAGCGATCAGTCACTTGTTTAAACGAATGTCTTATTCCAAGAATATCTTGAAAACAGATAACGATATTTCGATTTCTGTTAAGAGGAGCGTCTGGGTCCAAAATCGACGATTTTGACTTTTCCGATTTTTAGTCTCACCTTAAAGCTGACATTATGACCTATCCAACGGCACCAAAACCATAGCTGTACGTTGATTTATGCGTTCACGACAGATCGCGAAAGGGTTAGGGGTGGTGGAGTTCTTTAACATTTAACATAGCCGGAAATTACCGGCAGTGCACTTTAAATAGCTAGTTTGAACACGCACCGTTTAAGTAACCCGGCTGCACTCGTGCGGGACGGTTCTCGTTCAGTCGTTCGCACCATCCTCGACAGAAATTGAGCTCCAGTAAGGGCTAGTCTTGCAACCTTGAAAGCCGATTTTGAGGCGCCGCGGACTTTATCGCGCTCTACTGAACATTCACACATATTGTCAGTGGAAAACTATCTCCTCCCACAGTTTGAAGCTACAGAGATGAGAGATATACCATTCGATTCGCAAAATGAAAGATCTAGAGATTGGTGGTAGCTTTTTTCAATTTCGTTATAGTTTATAAAATATTTTGAAAAAGGGAAAATCTAAAAATTTTCAAAAATTTTACGAAAAATGACCCCTCACCTACAAAAATTCGAATTTCGACAAAATATTAAGCTACAACGAATCGATAGATATGGTCCTTACTCCTTGCGCATCGAATAATATGCGTCTGGATGTTGTAGCTTGAAAATCCTAGGAGGAGATAGTTTTAGACAGTACCCCCTTTTTTGGCCGTTTTCTAAGAATTTCACGTTATCTTTCATTTTTTCGAAAAATTCACACGAACAAAAGTTTTAGATTTATGTTTTACATATTTGTACCAAATTTCAAAGTGATCCGTTCGTAAATAAAAAAGTTTTTCTGTGACCGAGATGCTCCCCTAATTAAACTAGGTAGTATGGTTTATTTATTAGACATATCCTGCCGTGATAATTTCCTTATTTACGGAGGGCGATGACTACATGTCAGGCTACGGCGGTCATTAGATGCTAGGTAAATTAATGAACGTCTGCATATTCACGTAGCACCAATTATCCTCAAATCACCCAAGTTGTTGCTTTAAATCGTAAGTTAACGATTAACGCACGCCGTGATTATGGTCAAATCCAGTGAGTGTGACGTTAAACTTCTCAACCGCAGCTGCAAAAAGAGCCTGAGCTGCGGGATAGCGTGTTGGGTCGCGTGGTAGGGCAGATCTACGACAGTCCAGTCGACTTCACCCACTTCACGACAGGCATCGCCCACTCCATCACCTCATCGCCCGCCGCCCAGAACGTCGTCGAGACCTTGGTTGAGTGAGTCCTACAGAAAAGCAGTAAATTTAAACATGATTGAAACTTGAAATTTGTTGACACCCAGGGAGCCGAACTTTTCCGAACTCAATAAAGTCGGGCATCGACGCAAAAATTGTGGCGAAAGAAAAGAAGCAGGAAAGTACATCACACGTTATTTTTTATTTTTTTCCTTAATTTTTCATTTTTTTTCAGGCATAGAGATGCGTTGAAATTACTGTTTGCGACATAATACTATGTTAATTTAAAGATGAATGTCATTGTGGTCGCCAGGTGGCTGCTCAAGGTGCGGCACCGAGCCATGACTCGCCACCTCGTGAAGGCTGCAGACTTCATGCACAAAGGACCAGTGTTCGCTCCCAACCTAACCATCTTCTCCAACAGCGACCCAATGAGCCCGCTGGATTCCAACCAAATCATCGCTCGTAAATGGCAGGCCAGGGGCATGAAGGTATATTTATTTTAGCATGATTTGAATCATCCTCTGTGTTCAATGAATAAATTCCTGTTGATCAACTCAAAAATGAAAGAAAGTGCGCGTTTTATCCAAATTCTGATTAAATTTTCCAAAGAAAATCACACAGGAAGCATGAGTATTGCAGAATTTGAAGATCATTTTCATAACACTCTATGACAGCTCATTAGCTACCACGTAAACTGACAGCGCCGGGCCATAAGGTGCCAAATAACCAGGCAGCACCGGCCATTATGTGCCAGGATAACAGCCAACGGCGGTCATTAGATGCTAGGTAAATTAATGAACGTATCCATTTTCACATAGCACCAATTATCCTCAAATCACCCAAGTTGTTGCTCTAAATCGTAAGTTAATTTTGCCCCCTCGTCAGGTACGACATAGCATCTACGAGCACCCCGACACCGGCCACTGCGTAAACTTTATCAGGTATCCCCGGCGCTACAAGGAAGACGTGTACAGCTTCTGCGCGGTGGTGGGCTTCATCGAGCCTGCCAGAGCAGAGCAGCTGCTTGCATCAGAGCAAGGGAGTTAATCATGATTCCATAATATTTTCAAAACCGAAAACCAAGTAAAGGGATATTCGATGATGTAGTAATAGGATGGAAAAATATAAGGGATTCTTGCTTCCTTGAAATTGGTTGCATTAAGAGCGTTCAACCTTACTTTGTTGTTACAAGTGCATCGTCGTTACTGCCTCCGACCACTAAAATGTAAGCAATTAAAGTATAGTGGATTGATCAAGATGATCAGAATCAACAGGATCAGGAACGGCATGAACGTAATCAGCATTATCAGGATCAAAATGATCATGATCTTTGTCAATGTCAATAGTTTGCAACAGCATATCCTGATCACCAGGGGGCTTTATAAGATCTCATTCGCGAACTTCTATAGAATAAGTGACCTGCATTCCGAACCCCATCTTCTACGATGTGAATAAGAGAGGTCAGAACTACAACTCCCCATCATCCACGATATATTTAGCAGAGGTAAGAAATCCAACTCTATTCTAACCCCTTCAACCCTATTCCAACCACGATGTGTAGAAGCTACACTGGTACTTGCAACCTCATAAGATCCGAAAACCGACAGCATTTTCTGCCGAAGATGGACAGCGACCAACTGGAAGATGGACAGGGACCAACTGGAAGATGGACAGGGACCAACTGGAAGATGGACAGGGACCAACTGGAAGATGAACAGGGACCAACTGGAAGATGGGCAGGGACCAACTGGAAGATGGACAGGGACCAACTGGTGGAGGGACCAGCTGGCATAGTTGACCAAAAGAGTGTCAGTTGGAAAAGTGGGTGTGCAGGCTAATGCCCACCCTACAAGGAAAACAATCAAGCTGTCTCCCCAGTCGAGTGGATAACTGAATATAGAACCAATAAATCCACGAAGTTGGAGAATCAATTAAGGGCATGTACAACTATTGAACTATGGAGATGTATAAACTCGAGTTGTGGGCATCATAAACTAGTGAGTTCAGTAAAAATAATTAAATAATTATTTAGATTTAATTCCTATAATATATATGAAATAGAGTAGAAAATGTCTTCATGAAGTTTGGGTAGATCAGGAACTTGTATTATTTCCGATATTTCAACATTTATTAAATGGTAGTTGCCAGAATGGGACTCGTTTTCATTTGCCCACCGTTATTATTGTTTCATCTTTGTTTACGTTCCTCTTATTAGACGGAGAATAATTTTTTTACGTGTAAGCCATAAACTGGGTTGCGTATTAAGCATTCTTGAAGTTAGCCTGGAAGTAATTTAAATCAATTCATTTCAGATTTTTTTTATCAGAAATCATTATTAATTTGAATCTTCTTTATTTTGACGACGAAAATCACCGCTAATTAAGAATCTTGCTACGTTGATTATTGTATTACAACTGGTGAATCAACAATACAAGGTAAACATGTCCATTTCAATCAGCCGCGCACCCATAACAACAGATATTTTTCGGTAAAAGATATTAGCGAAATACGTCATTGCCTAATTCAGAAAGATCTAATAAGAGCCAACATGAAAGTTTATTACTCATTGGAAAAAAGACAAGGAAATTAATAACGAAAAACATTTTTGGGGTCTTCAATCAAACTTGGAAATACGAAAAATTTATAGATTGTTGATTTATTACTATTACATGTTTACAAACACAAGTTGAACACTGGAGTGAATGCAATATATTTTCATGGGACTGATTCCATTTATTAATATAGATACATTAAATTATAAAACATAGAAGATACGAGTAAATTATGTCGATGATGTACACCACTATAAATAAATCTTAAGAAATCGCTTAAATTTTCTCATTAATTCAATTTATGCGTAAAATATTTTAGAAGATTTTGTCCACAGAATTGGAAAAAAAGTTTTCTGCACTTATTTCGATTAGCAGGGAAAGAATGTCTACAGTTCCCATAGTTAAAAATTCGTCTGTTGTGAAATCTTTTGAAAATTCAAAGTTTAAATTAAGAAATTATAAACAGAAAATCTGAAAATCACACGAAGTAACATGTAATCACGATGTACATACAGTGAGAAACGGACGCATACAATGCTGCCAAGATCACCTAACATGTATGAACAGTTATGAAAAGTAATTACCTCAATCATATGTAATTTACAGCATACACCCTTATTTTATTGAGATTGACAGAGACATCGAGCAATGGGAAAACAATGGCTACAATGGAAAACGGCAGAAATTTTGTATTTTAATCACGAGAATCGGGCGATTATGCCGCGAAGCTCACGCCTTCAATGCTTCGTCGACGACTGCCTGTTCGACGAAGCCAACTTCGACGAAGAACTTGTAGACCTCGTCTTTGTATTGCTGAGGGTAAACGTGGTAGTTGAGGCAGTGTCCAGTGGTCTGGTGGTGGAATTTGCGTCCTCGTGACTGCCCGGAAAATAAATTTTTGAGTAATTTCAACAGCAATACACGATAAAAATTCAATTCCCTGAGTCCTTTTATAACATACTTTGAAAAATTATGAATGAAAAATTGATAAATTTTATTACTGTTGGATTAGAAATCAATATTTGTTTATTCACAACAGGATCCAAAACCTTTTTTATTTATACTCACACGAGTATAAATAAATTTATACTCATTTATACCCACATACTTTTTTACTTAGTTACATTAGCCCTCCAGGCGTTCTACTGTGCATCAAAGGATTCTACAATAAAATTTGAGTTCAATCGTTTATAAATTTTATAACAGCAGCGAGAAATTGTAGTAAGAAAATCGAAAGATTGATAATCCCAAGTTTAATCGTGAACTAAGAATGCACAAGAGCCGAATATTCGAGACTCTAAACCGAAGTATTTGTTAAAAGTGTGACACGGCTAGACTATCTCTCACAGAAATAAGCAAGATATTGTCTAAATAACGGGGCAGTTTTTGCGCTTCTGAGAGTCATCTCGATTCAGTTTGACGTGAAAAATGGGCGCATCAGTGCTACTTACAGAAAGTGAGTCACTATTCGGATAATATGACCCCATCCATTTCATGAGTGATAGTTACCTATATACGCTAGTACTATTTAAACCCATTATTTTTATGTGCAGCTGTATTTTCCACAGATAATTCATCTACGACATGAATGTTTGGAGACAAATTAGCTGCAGCTTGATACTTTGAAGTCGAAAAATTAACAGTGTAATTAATTATCATTATTTTAATTTATTATCATTAATGTAATTTATTATCATTAATGTAATTTATTATCATTAATGTAATTTATTATCATTAATGCAATTTATTATCATTATTGAAAAATAACTCACAGAAAGACCTGTGCTCCGCCACAGGTCGGAGATGGTCTCGTTGACGTCCTCTGGACTCATGGGGTCGTTGTCGGAGAAGAGGTAGAGACAAGGGGCGCGTACAGGGCACCTGTACATCTGCTGTGCCGCCGCCTCGTAGTGGCGAGTGACGGCGTCATAACGAGCCTTTAAAAACCAACTGCACGAACCAAACACGAGGATATTAGTGACGAGTGACGGCGTCATAACGTGCCTTTAAAAACCAACTGCACGAACCAAACACGGGGATGTTAGTGACGAGTGACGGCGTCATATCGTGCCTTTAAAAACCAACTGTACGAACCAAACACGACGATATTAGTGACGAGTGACGGCGTCATAACGTGCTTTCAAAAACCAACTGTACGAACCAAACACGACGATATTAGTGACGAGTGACGGCGTCATAACATAACATAACATAGTGATGTCGGCACTGGAGTGTAGGCCTGATGTGGCCTTTAAACGAGCCTTTAAAAACCAACTGCACGAACCAAACACGAGGTCTGAATATGGTTAGTGACTCACATGTTAGTGACGAGTGACGGCGTCATAACGTGCCTTCAAAAACCAACTGCACGAACCAAACATGGGGATATTAGTGACGAGTGACAGCGGCATGATGTGATCCAAAACCAACTAAAAACCGGAGATGCTGGGAATTTCCACGTACACTAACTAACTCCGTGATTCGTTGAGATCTAAATATGAAAGAATTTTTTATTTCGAATATATGTCTGTTTGCACGGGTCGAATACATCGACCCGTGCACTCATTCTCATTTCTTTCCTAATTTTTCGTGCAATCTTATTCAAGATATGATTTGGAGACTCATGCTCATAATACCAATTATGATAATTAAAACAATAAATCTCACTCGACGTAGTTCTTGATGACGCGTTGGAGGAAGGAGTTGGAGGTAATGCTGTGAGCGATGCCAACGCTAACGCCGCGCAGGTCCACTGGACTGTCGTAGATCTGCCCTACAACTTTGTCGAACACGGCAGTCTTCAGCGTAGGCTCTGCGTGCACCTGAGTCGTAGAAACTGCTTGTACTCGGCCAACAGATCCGCGGACCACTCGCCCCACATTTAGACCACTCGCCCACATTCAGACCTCTCGCCTCACCTGCAGACCGCTCGCCCCACATTCAGACCACTCGCCTCACCTGCAGACCGCTCGCCCCACATTCAGACCACTCGCCTCACCTGCATCCCCACAATCACACCACTCGCCCCGCATTCAGACCACTCGCCCCCACATTCAGACCACTCGCCCCACAATCACACCACTCACCCCACATTCAGACTACTCACCCCACATTCAGACCTCTCACCCCACACTCAGACCACTCGCCCCACATTCAGACCACTCACCCCACAATCACACCACTCACCCCGCATTCAGACCACTCGCCCCCACATTCAGACCTCTCACCCCACACTCAGACCACTCGCCCCACATTCAGACCACTCACCCCACAATCACACCACTCGCCCCAAATTCAGACCACTCGCCCCCACATTCAGACCACTCGCCCCACATTCAGACCACTCACCCCACATTCACACCACTCACCCCATATTCATATCACTCTTCCCACATTCACACCACTCACCCCACATTCAGATCACTCACCCCACATTCACACCACTCTCCCCACACTCAGACCACTCGCCCCACATTCAGACCACTCACCCCACATTCACACCACTCACCCCACACTCAGACCACTCGCCTCACATTCAGACCACTCGCCTCACATTCAGACCACTCGCCCCACACTCATACCACTCTCCCCACACTCAGACCACTCGCCCCACATTCAGACCACTCGCCCCACACTCACACCACTCACCCCACACTCAGACCACTCGCCCCACATTCAGACCACTCACCCCACATTCACACCACTCACCCCACATTCAGACCACTCACCCCACACTCACACCACTCACCCCACACTCATACCACTCACCCCACACTCATACCACTCACTCCACATTCATACCACTCACCCCACATTCACACCACTCACCCCACATTCAGACCACTCGCCTTACATTCAGACCACTCGCCCCACACTCACACCACTTACCCCACATTCATACCACTCACCCCACATTCAGACCACTCACCCCACACTCATACCACTCACCTGTAGCGCCACCTCACAGAAGAGGTAAGCTCCAGCACTGCAGCCGAACACCAAGTACTTCTCGTACTGCTGGCGCCTGCGTAGGAAGTTACAGACTTGTTCTGCCACCACCTGATGAAGTAAATCTATATTTTATTTACATTGAAATATTGAACCGTTACGGCCTGTTGAACTCACTAAGAAAAAGCACATAATGTGTATAGTTGTTCTTAAGCACTTGAATGAAGAATCAATTTCAATGTTTTATATTTGGAATGCGTTCAATAGAATGCTTAATTTGACAAAGTTAAGAAAAGATTAAAGGAAAGTTGATCATTAGATCAGTAACATATGGTTTTGAAAATTGTTAATTGGGAGAAAATCAAGACAGAGTATTTACCCAAATACCTAACTTGGGCTGGGCACGTAGCAAACGAAAATCTATACACGGTTTATTGTATTCAAGCAACCAGCATTCGTTTTAATTTTACCGAAATTAACATGAAGCTCAAGAAATTATAAACAACCAACTAAAAACTATATACTGGTGTACTAGAGCTTGTCTGCATGACGACCGACAGGAGAAGTCTATCAATGAACAGTACTCTGTTAGAGAAGATTTTTTTTAATAATTAAAGCAAATTATGCACTCGTGTAGCTAGGCTGCATTAATGTCTGACCATTAATTAATGTCTGACCAACCTCAACCGGTTAAAATTAAAGCTACACTATAAACTTAGCGCATGAGGCACCTGGGCGCCGGTTACAATTAGAGCTACACTAAACTAGAGACTTAGCGCATGAGGCACCTGTACGGGTGCCGGTTACAATTCGAGCTGCACTAGAAGCTTAGCGCCTGAGCACCTGGGTGCCAGAGCTGGGGTGCATGGCGTCCAGAGGGAAGATCCTGACGACGAGCATGTCCAGGCCCAGCGCAGTGAAGAGGCGCGCGTACTTGTGTATGTGACGCGGCCGCGCCGTGAGCCACGCGAAGAACAGCACCAGCCGACGCTCGCCCGCCTCGCTCACACGCGCCTGCGGCGTGCATGCAAGTGTGACCGGAAACACCGCCGCGAAGTCGAAATAGTTATGGGTAGCGTGCCGACTTGACGGTGACTTGCTTATTGGTTTTAACACAAGGGCTAAA